AATACTTGTAGCAAGCTTCCTGCATTATTTCTTTATGGTGTGGAGGACTAGAAGTTTGGATGGGTCAATTTCAGAATGTAGGGCACAAATCAGCTACATTCTGGTACCAGGCAAAGCATGAATCCTGTTGTTTAGGGGATACATCATTTCTAACAGGTGATTGGCAGGCATTTTTGGGTGTGATCCCACACCTACCTGTGTTTGAAGAGATTATAAGGGACAAGTATGTGCGATGTTGAACAAACCTCAATTCCAAAACAATTGAGATACTATGTGAAAACAAAAAGCAGTGATTAGTAATTTCTGTTTGGAAAACAGAACATTTTTACACTGTTTATCACATTATCTTTTAACAACATTGACTGTAGACACAGAACAATCCAGTTTTGAAAGTGTTGGCACTCTTCTGCTATAAAAGACTTCATCTGTGCGACCATGGCCTTCATTGTGATTTCATAAGGCACACATTTTCAGTAGGAGACAAGTCTGGACCGCAAGCAGGCCAGTCTGGTTCCCACACTATCTGATTACCCATGCCATGACAGAATTGGCTTGTAAACTTTACACTAGTAACAGTCTGCAGGTTCTTTCGCCCGAAAAACACAGTGGCCTTTTTTTTGAATAGATGACTCGTCAGACCACAGTATGCAGCAGTCCATTTCTGATGAGCTTGATCCCAGAGATGTTCTGGATGCTGTTGACACATGGCTTCTGTTGTGCTTGTCTTAAAGGGCACCTATTATGTTTTTTTGGTTTTTCCTTTTCCTTCAGTGTTTTTTATAGCTTTTTGTGCATGTAAAGTCACAAAGCTCAAGGTAGAGGGAGTAACTCTCTCCCACAGAAACCACTTTTCTCAGCTGGCTGAAACAGCTTGTTGGAATTCCAGCCCTTTTCTGTTACAAAGTGACGTCATCTCGTCTCCTCATATACATATATATGTACATAGTCCTTATTGCCTGCCTACCAGCAAGCTTGGCATGCCTTCACTCAGTGCACAGCAACTACTGGAGGACCGGAAGAGTTCACTTTTGTAGCCATGTCGGGAAGATGCTGACCTGACTTTCAGGTTCGGACTCTGGCTCAAACTGATACAGCAGAACTGACGCCATTGGAAACATAGCCACACGGTTGTAACAGCTGCATAAGAGAGAAGGGTCCATCTTAGTGATGTCATGGTTGTGAACAATTTGGTTCTTTTTTAAAAGCTCTTTGGTAAGAATGAAGGGTATATTAGGTATATTTGAGAGCTGTTCTTTTTATTGTTGTCAAATTTCACTGCCAGCCTTAAATCCGCTCTGCACCCCATGTAAACAGTGAGACCTAGCCTATCATAAGGATGGACGGTGTCACATTAGGTTCTCTTTAAGGCAGAATGAGCAGGATTTGTTGGTTGCTGTATGGACAACTTTCAAAGTTGGCCGAAAGAGAGCAGCACTGGTCGAGTGAGCTACGAAATGTGTGAAGAGAGGGAGAGGCATTAGCGAGAAAATAAAACTTTATTTTCTGCTTGTTTCATGCCGTTTATGTTCTCACCTCTGCACAATCCTGCACATTCTGTGTGAATGCAGCCAAAGCACAGTTCATTCTGTCTGCTGCTGTGGCCTCTCTCTGCTCTGCGTGTCCCAGTCTGCAGACTGCAAGACAAGGGTGGAACTGCTCTGGTTGGCTCCAGAACAGAGTGGGCAAGCTGACCAGTCAGAGCACACTGGGCTCGGGAGGTGGGGCTTAAAGACACGGGAGCTCAAACAGAGCGTTTCAGACAGAGTGAACAGAGATGTACGGTATGAGGGGAAAAAAGTGTTTTTGGAACACTGAAGCATGTAAATCTATTCTAGTTGACTCCAACAATAAAATTATAAACATTGAAAAAGAGCATAATAGGTCTTCCTTAATTTCATTTGTGGATGCAGTGATAAACAGACAGAATATTCCAGGGCCCATGTGGCTATATCCACCACAGAAACCACAGGCTGTGCCTAATAGTGAACATTTTTTTTAGCAAACCAACTCTTCATTTTAGGATTGTTTTTAACATACACTCGCTGACTTTATAGATAGCACCTCAGATATGCAAGTGGCCACTCACAGTAGAAGAAAAAAAGGGGGGCAACAAGGAGCAGGTTTTTCTATAGGAGCACACTTGCTCCTGGCCTAGTCTGTCCTCCCTGAGCTAATTAGCTTGCCAAGCAAGAGGCGTGAGAGTAATGTACATAATTGCTTTGTCTGGCTTACGCTTCAGGTAGAGCAGTGGCAATATAGCAAAGTGGCAGTACAGTTACACCAGAAGTCAGAGCAGTTTGCTACGAAAAGACCATTTTCAACGCTGCAAATTAAATGTTAAACTTTTAAAATATGAAGTACTTGTTAGGTTAGGTTTAAAAAATAATAAAAAAAAGACATCAAATTGCATCAGATGTTTTTTGGTCTACACAAGTCTATAACATTTTGTAGAAGATTTCACCAAAAGAAATAGTGAGGGCAACTTGACGAGGGTTAGGGTTAGGAACCAACTGATGCCATTGATTTATGAGTTATTGCAAAACTACAATGTTTTTCACGAGGCCAACATTTGCCCTGTGTTCCCACTAATTCTGTGTTTATAATTGACCTAGTTCAGGAAGCCTGATTCTTGCTGAGCAAATGTCTTTGTTGCTTTCTGCCTTGTTCTTTTAAAAAAAAACAAAAAAAACAAAAAAAAAAACAAATGAATAAATAAACAAACAAACACAAGCTAAAGGTAAGAGTTTGCATGCAAATGAGCTTTAATATTGAAAAACTTTTTTATTGACTTTTATTGACTTTTTTTTCTGCAAAGTGAATTAGCTGCCTCTAACATCTAACCTAGATGAATTGTAAGACCATCTATTTGATGGCTTGTAGAAGACTCAACATGGTCTTGTTAGCACTGAACAATAACTCTAGCTCTTAACTTCGGGTCACATCTAATGAATGCTGAGTGTAGAGAAGGTGTGAAGTGTGAGAGAGTGTAAAGAAGGTGATATAATAGCACCATGAAAGGACCTGAACTAGACCTTATTACAAATCAAATTACTTCTGTAACTTTTTATCCACCAGCTGAATAGTTCTCCAGTTAATCTACATTTAAGTGCCAGTTTATTAGTTACTCCTACCTTGCCGCTACACTCACTGGCAGTTTTATCCAGAACACCTGGGTGTCCAGTCTTATCTGCAGGGTAAGGGCCGGTGTGGCTGCAGGTTTTCATTCCAGCAAAGCAGGAGACAACATGATCAGTTGTTGACTGAAATCAGTTGGTTAAAGAACTAGAATCAGGTGGGCTCCTGCTTGGCTGGAATGAAAACCTGCACACACTCCAGCCCTTTGTGGCTAAGATTGGACGCCCCCGATACAGGTGAAAGTTGTAGGTTTACTCAACCCATCTTTGCTCATAGGGACTAGGCCTTCATTGGATTCTCCCTTTATACTCAAGCACGAATTCTAAGATTCTTGGCAATGTTCTTTGTGTTAAATTGCCCAGTCTGAACTCTTTTGCAATGTGTTGCAAGCATCGATTTCAGAATGAGTGAATATTTATTTAAAAAAACCAATGAATTTGACAAGGTAAAGCATTAAATATATTGTCTTTGAACTGTTTAAGTACAGATGCCTGCTTTGTCCCTACAGCTCTGCACTCTTTATAAACAAAAGCGTCAAAAAGGGTTCTTTGAAGCAAACACTTGGTTCCCCGAAGAATAGAGATGGCCTGAATAATCTGAATATTCGAGTACTCTTTTGTTACGTTGGAATTTGTTTCTCTGTTTAGTATTCAAAAGCTTTGTCTTGCTTTAAGCTACAAAAATTGTACCCTAAAAATTGCACATTTCATCACCAAAAGCCTTTAGATGTGTCAGTTATTGTTAATGTAGGGCAAATGTTAAAATAAATGAATTATAGCTGGTGTAGTTGAAGTTTGTAAATTATAATTTTGAACATAGTTTAGAATGCTGTAAAATGTACTCAGCACATAAAAAAGTGATAGGATGCAACGGCTCACAGATGGAATAGATGCAACAGTTTTGACAGATGGAAGATACATGTCTATCGCAGGTGGTGTGGAGAGAAGCACTGTTTTAATTGGAAGCGTATTTGTTCCGTCAGAACATTGCTAAAGGATTTATTTTGAACTTTTGTGGTTAATTATGAAATATTGATGAAAATATGAAAGTACAGGGAGATTCACTCAAAGGAGGCCCTGAATCTTCTGTAATAACACTTGCTAGGATGAAGCAATCTGAACGAAACGTGTAATGTGCTCCTCAGTATATGGAGCTTCAAACAAGCCAGGATGCCCCTGCGTTGGAGCAATGTGGTGGGTGCCGGACAGCCATTGCGACATTTAACCTCCGTTTGCAACTTCCGGGTGCATACCCCCGTACCCCTTCATGTGTCTGGCAGAAAATGGAGATCACTTCCAGCATCGCATGTAATGCAATCGATTACACATACGTCAAGGTATGTAGGGTATTTTTTTGGTTCAGATAGCTTCATCCTAACGGGAGTTACAACAGAATATTCGGGGCCTCTTTCAAGTGAATCTCCCTGTATTGTTAAAGGTGGTTTTGAAAATGAGCATTTGGGTCAGCCTGTCAAGCCAGCCCTACTAAAGAACCTTTCAATGGAGGGTTCTTTAAAGAACCATTTTTGTAAGTAAGACATGCAGATCTAAAGAACCTTTTATAGTTTGAACAACCACCATACAATGTAATATGATACCAGTTAAAGTTTTAATAGAGTAGCAAGTTATGTGTGTCTGTGTGTTTGTTCAAGCCCAGTATTATTTGTAGTTATGATCCACTTCCTGGTTTGACTAATCAGGGCCACTTTATGTTAAATCAGCTGTGACGGAATTGAAAAAAATTTCAATTATCCCAAAATATTTTATAAGAGAAATACAGCCGTTGCTGTTTATACATGAAATAATGCCTGACCTTTTATCTCTCTGTCTCTTTTCTTCTGCCTTTTCCTTTTTTCCTTACTGAAGACAGGCTCCAGGTCCTTCCCAACAACAACCTTCAGATCCTGAAAGTGGCCAAAGAGGATGAGGGAGTGTACCGCTGCGAGGCGCGAGTGGAGGCCCGAGGCGAGATCGATTTCCGCGATATTGTAGTGGTGGTAAACGGTACGTCCTAGCTGCCTTCTAGACCACACAAAGACTTGCTAGCACATGTCTTTCTCTGCTACCAGATTTTGAGAAAAAAATATCTCTCCTTATGGTGGCACTTGGGTAAAGAACCTCTTGAGGTACAGCACTGTAACATATTGATCCAGACGCTGGCCATGAACTAGCCATTCACAGGTTAAGAATAGAGTCACCCAGCTGAGACAAGTTCATTCATGCAGAAGGTCATAGTATGGATGGAGGAACCGTGCTGAGTAGAAAATAGGGTCAGGTGGCTCACAGAAAGCTGAAGAGGAGGTAGACCTTGAATGGAAACTTGGCTTTCATCTAAGACCGAATGAGAACAATTGTCAGTTTTTTTTCATAAAATGGAGAGTCTCTGAGTTTCTTTATGTCATTTTTGAAAAATGGTTGCCTTAGACTTCTGAAATTAGATCCACATTATGACATTTCACAATAGCTCTGATTTTCTGCTGGTTTCTTTTAGCTTGAATGCCTATTTATAGATTTAACCTTCAGAAGTCATAGTAATCGCAGAGGATGGTGTAAGCATAGTGTAATTCCGTGTTAATTATTGCTTTAATGAGTTTATCTCCATTTCTGCTACAATGAAATGACAGAAGTCATATTACCTGCTGTGTCTGATCCACTTCTACCAGCGCAGCACACACTCACGCCACCACCACATCAGTGTCACTGCAGTGCTGAGAATGATCCATCACCCAAAAATGGACAATGAGTGTAGATAAAAGGAGGTGTGCTTAAGAAAGTGGCTGGTCAGTGTATATATAGCGTGTATATATATACCAGGACACAGATGACCATGTTTAGTTATTCAGAAGTAGCTGAGGGACATTGGTATATTTTTGTGTTGAGTAATGGAGGCTGCCTCTTCAGGTTAGCTATTTTGCTAAGAGAGCTAACCACTTGGGTGCTGATGAGGTCTCATCGTCCTCTACACAAGGTATTTTCTCCTCAGTAGATGATGTGCTAACACATTATTTGTCAGAGAAGTATATTTTCATTGGTTATCGACTTAGCTCACATCAGCTACAGTAGCTAGCCTAGTTAGTGATCTAACCATGCTTTCTCTGCATTGTCAGTAAAGTCCTTAACATCTCATTCTCTCGACATGCTCACATTCAGGCACTTGTTTCTGGGAGCAGCAAAGTTATAAATACGAGCAAAACTGACATGTTTCACTGAATTGACTTTAAGCAAAGACATGTGATGCATGCCCGAGTAGTAATTTCAGTATTCAAATACTGGCATCTCGAATTTGTAACTGAACACTCAAATACCTGTGTACACATCCCTAGTTAACGGGCACATTAATATTACGATGCATCAACAAGAAAAAATCCACATTGACAATTTTTCTGAATCAGTGTAGTTGACTTTGTTGACTAACCATTTAAAATAGCTCATCTCAAAGCAAAATATTGGATCAGTGTCGTTTTCAATATCACTATTAGGATCACCCTAGACACCATTGTATACGTACGGCTGGTGCCTGCAGTGTTGCTGCTCACTATGCAGTGCCTTCTCTTGTTTGTCATTCTGCATTAATTGGGTTCACGTTGCTGCCTTCAACGTGTGTGATCGAGCAGTTCAATTAAAACAAGCTCCAGACTTCCCTGACTTACCGAGCAGTAAGTGTGATCCATTCTCCACAGATGATCTGTGAAATACAACGATTTACCTTAATTTGTTCTCTTAACGTGAGCTATCTTTAGGAAATAGCGGAGGAGGAATTTAGAGCATTGTCTTGAAGCAACGGCTCTGCCTGAAAGAGCACAAGAGTTGTTTGCCTATCTCATCCTTCCTTAACCTGAAGTAATAACACGCAAAGGAAGAAAAGAACGAGAGTCATTGGGGTGGAGTTGCATTCAATTTTTGTATCACCACTTATAGCTCTCAGGAAGATCCAATAAGCTTGCGCAATGAGGCGTATCCTATTATCCCAGAAACATGCCAACCGTCATCTGCTACTGAAACAGAGCAACCTTCTACAGGGAGTCACTTAGCATGTGCTGGATAGAGTGTATATGCTGGACTCTGTGGCAGAGTCAGTGGTCACACCTATTACTTGTAATCTTTTTCCCCGAAAGACCTCTGAGATCGTGTCATCATTTTGTAGTTCACCGTTGACATCAGAGCAATCCTTGGGTCTAAGCAGTTTTTCTCAGTGAGAAAAAGCGCAATGGGACAAATCTGTTTTGAAACTTGCCCCTGTTGTGCTCTGTGGTTAACTGGCAAGTTCCAAAGCCTGTATGTTTTGTCCTTTGCACATCCCACCCCAAACACCGTCAGGTCAAATGATGTTTTTATAATTTTTGCACAGGTTGCACATATTATGTATTTTTTTTGGCCAATATGTTAAATTCAGCAAATAAATATTTTAATTGTACAGTAAAATGTGCAGAGGAGTGTTCTCTGTAGAGAATGTGCAGTTACGTAACTAGTTACGTGAAGCAAATACGTATTTTCTTATTTTAGCAAAACATGTCATTCGACCAGGAGTGTCCAAACTTTTGCATACAACTGTATCTGTGTTATTTAAATAATGCAGTTTTAACTGCAATATTGCTATGCCACATTCAAGCTAACCCTCCTGTACATTTACGTCTTAAAAAAACAAATGCAAACCAAGAAGTTTTCTCGAGTATGGCAGTTAAGTGCCTTTGCAGCCTTGGCTACAATTAACTGGTGGTGTTATCCAATCATGGTGCGGTATATTTACCATAGTAGCCTTACTTTCACATAAATGCACAAGAATATGGTGTGTAGCATGTATGCAGCAATATTTGCATCCTGACTACTTAATAAACCCAAAATTATAGGATCAAGTGACATTTGGGGAAAAGATGTACACATTGGCTTTGGAAAATGTATTGCGACAAGGGAGTTTTTCAAAAATGGCATTAATCTTTTCTATAGACAAAATTAGGCTAGACTTGCAGTAAAACAGGGTAAGTTGGTACAAAGGGTGGTTGGCACAATGTTAATTTTTGTGGGTCAGGAAAACAACTAAGAAGTCTCCCGGGATAAATATACATAATAGAAATGTTTTAAAGAGAAATATTAAGATTATATTCATTTTAGTTAATAATAACAGCTATATATTTGTATTTGATTTGAAAGCCAACATTAGTGCTAATGTTAAGAAACAAGAAATACAAATGCCTGCAGTGTAGGGCCATTGTCTAGTATTTATATTAAATTTACATTTTAAATTTGTAACTATTTGTTATTTGGGTTGTATACTTTGTCTTCAACTGTTCAAAGTTAACCAATTTTAAAATGAATGAAACTTTGCTAATATTTTATTGATTTGGTTTAATATATCATTGACAGCTGGGATAGGCTCCAGCACCCCACCGCGACCCAGAAGGATAAGCGGTTTAGATGATGGATGGATGGATGGATGGATATCATTGATTGGTTTGGTTTAATGTCAGAGCTTTGATTCTAGCTATTTATTGCATTCAATCATTCTGTTCATGTGTGCCAACCAACTCCATGTTGGGGCTGGTTGTCACGAGTGCACAGCATGAAACCATGAATGTGTTGAATTTGAGGAAATATTTTTTGACATTGAAGGTGTTTGGCTAGCCAAGATGTTCAGCTTTTGTTTGCTGCTAATTAGGTTAATGTATGCTGTGCCTGGGATATATGTCAGAGAGTGAAAACTGTGCCAGGCAGCCCCTCTCTCCCATATTTATTTGTCAACTACAAAATGATGGAGATCTCTTACTTTCTCTCTGTCCTGACTCCTTCTACTGATCCATTGTTTCACAATGCTAAGTGTCAGTGTTGCTATTTCATTAACAAAAGTATGGTCATGGTCAGCATGAGTCGTTCACCATCTGGGTGAAAGTAGACCTGATCCTGCACATGTTGGTAAACTGTGAGAAGAGCAAAAAAAGGCATGAACAAAAGCTAAAACAGAGCCTGTGTCAGCTAAGCCACACATGCTAGTGCTAGAATGAATGCAATAATTGGTCCCCGTGTTGGCGGTTGCGACAGTTTAGCTTGCGCCAAAGATTACGACTCATCGGTTCAGTTGCCAAATCACTTTTTTCCGTCTTTGCGAGACTGTTTGTATTTTCATACCGAATGTGTCAATGGAGTTGATTAGCATGCAGACACACACGGCTGTGCTCTTTTCAAGCCCTTAACCCCGGCTTTCATCATCAGACGAGCTGTTGGAGTGTAGGCAGGGGTCGAGCTTATGGCCTCTCTCGGCTATCTCCATTGATCCTTTAAAAGGAAATGGCACGGAGATAGAAGGGTGGCTCATTCGCCTTGTCCTTCGCTGATACGCATCGCCAGTAAACCAATCGTTTTTTTTTTCTCCTCTTCTTTGAACTCGGCCAATTTCTAACACGGATGAAATCACAGAGCCCGAAATTATGATTCTGGCTGATTTGCACGCCACTCGTGTACAGCACCGGCTCTTCTGGGTGGCTTTTGAGGCCTATTTCAGGCTCTTGGAGCTGCGAATCGAATCAATTTGCCATGTCTCACAATGACCTGATATAATGTCGTTGCGGAATGAGGATATCTTTCTATGAAATGCGAGGGAAATCAACTGTGTCTGAGGGGACAAATATAAATAAACAGCTTATGGAGTTTTTTTTTTTTAAGCAAAGCTGTTTTTTTGACAGATAAATAACCCTCTCCACAGTTTCATTACACCAACTCAAGACAAAGTGAAATGAGCTGTAATTCGAAAGTCAAGGAAAAGAAAATAGCTTCCTATTTAGTAAGTAAAGTGAAGGATGTTATTGAACAAATCATTTCACAATAGAGCCGGAGGCATGTTTGGGATATCAAAGAGTTGCAGCAGCCAGATCGCAGCAACTTTTGATTGCTGGTGAGGAGCCTATCATTGCACAAGATGCTGAAGTATTTACAAACTCGGTTCCAGCAAAAGGCCGAAAGACTGATGTTTCAGCTGCTTCATCGGCTGCTTTTGAACATAAGGCTGCCAGGGGAGCTGCTAAGAAACTGCTGATGCTTGGATGATTTAGGAAGTCTTCTCTTTTTTTTTTGGTTATAAATAGTTCAAGCAGTAGGGCCTCTTTTTGTTTCAGGCATTTCTGCTGCCGACATTTTTAGGGCTGACCGATATTTTGGTTAGCAGATAATATTACCTGCCATTGAAGTCCTGTGTACTTATTGGTAGCAAAAAATCACACAGGTAAAGAAGCTGTAATTAGCCATCAGTGGCCTATGAGTGGTGGAAATGCGTTCAGTGCTAACACCTAGCAAGAGGATAACCTAGTAGTGGGTGATATACTGGTTCATCACCAGTATGCCACAAATAAACGCACCACAATGTACAAACAGTGCAAAACACACTATTAACTCACCTCCTCTGTGGTGAGCTGCAGGCTGTTGAAAGTTAGACTAGTTTTGTTGTCGAAAGAGCAGACATCATAATGTAATGAGTTACTGAGTTGCATGGTGTGGGAAAGAGGGCAGGAGAAATGCCGATTTCTTAGGGCTAGCCATTGGTTATTAGCCTAGCATGGAAGCTAGCTGGCTTTCCGTGTGCACAGCCTAAGGCACCCCTTACTCTGCCAGCTGCTTAAGGCAGTGCTGTGGCCTCAGGCTACACACCAGGAGGCTCTGCAGCTTGTTAGATCATAAAGAAATAAACAAAACACAAAACTGTGCTTTCATTTTATTTGATGAATCATACATATACTAGGCCTTCGATCAACAACTCTGAGGAAACTTAAAAGGCATAGGTAGATATGTGACCTCAAATATACTTGTAAGTAAACAGTAAAACTAGTATTAAACTGAATTAAAGCCTGTGACAAATTTTACAGTTTACTGTAATGGTTTGCATGATAAAGAGAACATGCTAGCTTGCTAACTCTGCCCGAGGTTCCTTTGGAAGTGAAATCAGGATGCGGATGTGAGATTGGGCTTCACACCAGGTTCAGAGAAGCCACTGTGTGCTTGACATGCACTTGTCTTTAACTCATTAGGGTTAGGAATATCAATAATCTGTCAATATATTGTTCATTTTTGTTTTTACTGTTTCGCCCAATAAAAATATTTAGATTTACTTTAGTTGTTAAAAAGGATTCCTCTTAAAAATGAAGGGACAGCCCAGAAAAATATTCCATTGTCAATCTACAGAATAGGTTTACTTGGGCATTCGAAATAGGTTTATTACCAAACTGTAAGCCTACATCTCAATATTAAATGAACTGAGCATTACAAGGTCATTTACAGTCTAAGCTTGTATCTAAAATGTGGCTCCTACCTTCTGACTGAAAAGAGTGTGAGAGATGATTTCCTAATGCAACTCAATCACTCCTCCAGCAAACTACAGAATCCACAACCGAATAGAAGTGGACACTACAGCTCGGAACCAGCACTTAACGGCTGCTTGAATCCTGTGGGGAGAAATAGCTGCTGAGGCTTGTGTTTTCTCCACGAGGCTGAAGTGGGCTTCGTGTTTGCCTGCGTCTTATTAAAATTTTCTGTTCCACCTTAATTGAAATGGCAGATTTGAATAAGAAGCTGGCTGACTTCAGATTCTCGCATTAAACAATGTTGGCACTCTGTCTCTGTTCAGTCTACCACTCTTTGCCTATTATTATTGTGCTTGACTGAGAAAGCTCACCTTTTCAAACAGTTCGGCTAATCAACCATTCAAGGTAGTCTGACCAAACCAGGTTTTTACAATTCAATTTTACTTATGTTGATGGTTATGAGTTTTAAATAAATATTTTGGAGTGTGTTAAATAGAACTATAGAAACCATTTAGAGCATATCATTACACAGCCCCCTGTTTAAAAAAAAAAAGAATTTAAAAATACATATTGTGACACCACCTTTATGTTTATATACAATCAGATCAGGCAGTAAGCACTGGAGTCAGTTTGGACCATATGAAATTGGTCAACATTATCAGTTTTATGAATTTTTAGCTCTTTAAAGTCAACATGAATCAGAAATCATAACACATTTTCTTTCTGTACCATAATGTATTTTTGAGTGAAACCTGAGAAATCAGAGTGGGTAACTGTGGTAATTGAGCTCAATGACAGGTGGAGAAGGTGAAATATTATTTTTCCTCTCCTGCTGGTAACTGTCAAAATTTAGAAGACGTTTTAGAGTCGAGACAGTCATTCAGTACTTAAGAAAGATTATGGAAAACTAGAATTTTGTCTTTTAAATGATATGATTGCTTAATACGATCAGGGACATAAACTAACAAACTAAAACACATTCATCTTGATTTCAGTTTGACTTGAAAGCACCAAATGTTCATATTGGCCTCTGTTTTTCTTGTTTCTACATGTATTTTGAAAAAGAAATGTGTTCAGAAGTTCGTTTTGTTGTTGTTGTTGTGTTGGTTCGTACGCTGCTGATTAGGCCGTTTGATGTCTCCGCACTTGGCGAGGTCTCACATTAACAAAGCTGTTGCTATAAAGCCGGAGCCGTGGACACTACAGTTGAAGTGCGCTGAATAAAGGACCTGAGGGAGAGCAGGCAAAGCTGATCGATTGGCAGAGAGATCAATGCTAATCATGTTAGAGAGGCTTTAGCTTAGCACACTGCCCAGCTCTCTGTGGTTTCACATTTGTATCTTTTGAAACATAGCTGCTCCACTTCAATCTGCAGTAAGGACAATGCCAATTTGTGCATGAGAGAGAGAGAGAGAGAGAGAGGGAGACAGAGAGAGAAACAGAGAGAGAGACAGAGAGACACAGAGAGAGAATGATAGAGAGAATGATAGAGATACATACTTCACAGAACATAGATTCATACTAGCCATTCATCTTTTCATGGTACCTGGATAGCAGAGAGGTGATACATTTCTCAAGACAATCAAAAAACATTTTGTGTTTGCATGTATGTACATCTAACCCATGGTCTTATTAATCACATCCAGGGTGCTCAAGTACTAAGATTGGCTGTCAGTTGCACAGAAAGTACTGATATACTAGGCACAGTTGAGCACATAGGCTATAGTTATTTTTAGCTCATGGCTAGCTGAATAACTTCCTCTGTATGTTTGTGTCCTGTCTTCCACAGTTCCCCCTGTACTGTTAGTTCCCAAGGAGTCCTTCAATGCAACGGCTGACTACCAGGAGTCCGTGACATTTACCTGCATCACCTCTGGCTCTCCTGACCCTGAGGTCACGTGGCTCCGGTAATGCTTTCATCAAGCCTTTAAATGCGACGTAGGCATTTTTCTATGAATGTTTATTGTTCAGTGGACATATTTGGATAAGAAGTTTGCATGGCTAATGCAGCCGAACCAGATATGCTAAAATGACTAACAGTAAACGGAGTCTAGTGACTATTAATTAGCATGATATTATTTGCATAATGCTAATTGGTGGCTAGTCACTTTTATTCAATGGCAGCAGTGTTTGCATTTCTAAGTAAACTATTTCTTTAACCTTTTCAGACCTACATTAAAGCCTTTCTGCTTTTGAAGTCCATTGTACTTTCCACAATTGCCTCATATTTCACAGCACATCAGCTATTATTGTAGATAGTAGGGCTGCACGATATGGACATGTAAATGCAATATTCAATAAAGCTTTAGGATATCACAATGAGGAGATGAGAAGCGATCAGTAATTATTATAATACAGACTTTTTTGGATGTGTAAACAGAAATCTAACTAACCTTTCCTTTAAGCCAATAGCAAAATACAAATCACTAATCACTATTGTGCAAAAGAAAAAGAAATGAAATACTAACAGCTACTTACATCAGAAGTGCAAATACATTTTTTGTGCACTCAGAGACTATGAAACAGTCAGCATTAGCTCAACAGCTTTTTACATAGAGGCTACAAAAACAAATAAATACGTATTTATTTTTCAGGTACACGAGAATGAAAACATATTTTTGTTATTGTTGTTTTGTTTGTTTGTTTAGTTATTAAATATGTTTGTTATGCATTATACATTTGTAGCCATTAGTGCCTCACACACCTAAAACACAATACTGGCTGTGAAAACAGTTCTTATGTTATGTCTTATAACGCATTTTCCCAAGTTGTAATTCAGGATGAAGGATGTGTCTCTTTACATGTATTTGTAATTGGCCAGGGAGAGCTCACTATCTACATACTACAGAGAAAACAATTCTGTTTGGACAGATTTTACTGTTGAACATTTCTAGTTCTTAACTCTTTTGTTTCTAACCAAAACAAAGATTTAATTACTACATAATTTGCAGAGTTACAGACATGTTACAGAATTATAAAGATGTATTTCTTAGTTCTTAGAAAAAAACTGGGCCTTTTCTGAAGGTCTAAAGGCTGCTGTATTTATCACCAGTAAAGATGGTGAATGGCAAAAGATATAAACCAGTAGAGCAGGTAATTCAACAATCAGCGGGACAAATTATCTGTCTTTTTCTAGATGTGGACAGTCGTTTGATAATGGAAGGAAATGATCTGCATTGACAACCTGGGACTTGCTAGTTAGACAAATATCTCTGTCACTCAAAAAATTGCGAGGCAGTGATACAAACCCATTTGAGTTTGGCTGTCAAACTTTCATTCTGTTGATATTTGAGTATGCTTTGGGAAAGGTCATGAGACTTACTACTGTTATTTAATTTTGAACCAATCTCATATTCATGTCTGGAATATCAAAAGATTATTAAAGTCTTCATAAAAATTTGCTAGAGCTCCTTTTTATTAAAAGATATGAACTGTAGGTAGCAATGACAGATTGGATGTGAAGTAGATCTGACAAATAATGCTGGAACAAAATGAATAAGCAAAGACATGATACTGTTATCAAGAACTGAAAATAATACATGGTTAATTTTCCCGAAAATCTGGTAAATATTTAGAAATAAAAGCTGGGGCTGTTGTTTGATCAGCTTTTTAAAAAAAAACAAATAAAGTAAAAAAAGAAAAACACAATATAAAGGAATAAAAAAGAAATGAAAAATGAGAATCAGCATGATACACTTGCACTGCAGTAATGTTGACTATTAATTATTACAGACTTCACACGGTAAATGTGTATGTAGGTGGAGGCTATTCAAGGTTTGTCAAAAATTAGAAACAACATCAGCTTTATAAAATGAAATAAAAGTATGAGAGAATAGAATAAAACCATATTAACTCAGTTATTAGATGTTGCTCATGGCTTATCATTGTTATTTATAATGGCAGCCTGGTATTGTAAACAATGTAGAACACCACCTGCCTGATGCTGCTCAAAGCAAAGCCATCTCATCTGCACTTTCTGGTGGTTTCAAAAAAGAAAAGACCTCAGGTTTTGCCCTGGCTGCTTTGTTCTTGTTTTCTCCTGGCTGCTAGTCTATAACCAATTTCCAAACAGCCATCGACTCAATTTCCTGTTTCTGCCGTTGGCTTGAACTCTGGCTTTATTTCCTCTCTCCAGTGCATTTAGCAGCCTCCACTTCGCACTTTGTGCCATCATTTACAAGCGACCAATTATCCCCTCCCCAGTGTTTCCCTGGGGAGACACGTACAGCACAGGCAGTGATGATAATGTGGCCTTTAAGTCTGCGAATGTGTAAATGTGAAAGTGTTAGATGGATGTATGAATGGATGGAATTGGTGAAAAGTTGGATGGATGGATGGATGGATGGATGGTTGGACAGACAGTCGGGTGTACTGGTGGGGGTGTGGATGGGTGGATGGATGGATGAATGGGTGGCTAAAAGGATGGCCAGATTGCCAAACTGATAGATGGATAAATAGATGGATGAATAGATGGATAGATGAATCAGTGGAGAGCGGAATGGATAGATGGACAGGTAGAGTGCTGTACTGGAGGGTGGATGGATGGAGGGTTAAATTGTGTATGGATGTATGGCAGATGGATGAATGACTGAGTGGTGGACTGGATGGTCAGATGGACAAACTAGTGGATAAATGGATGGATAGATGGATGGATAGGTGAATGGATGAAGAGAGAGTTTTATAGATGGAGGGGAGAGATGGATGGAATTAGTGGATAGTTGAATGGATGGAGGGGAGTTAACTATCCACTAATTCCATTCATCTCTCCTCTCCATCTGCATGGACAGACTGGTGTACTGGTCTGTGTGTGAGTGGGTGGATTGATGGATGAATGGGTGGATGGATGAATGAGTGGCTAGATGGATGGCCAGACTGATAGAAGGATGGATGGATGGATGGACCAGTGGATAACGAAATGGAGTGCTGTACTGGAGGGTGGATGGATGGATGGTTAAATTGTGGATGGATAGGTGAATGGATGAACTAAGAGTTGGATAGATGGAGTGGAGAGACAGATGGATAGATGGATGGAATTACTGAATACTTAAATGGATGGATGGACAGACAGATTGGTGTACTGATGGGTGTGTAGGTGGGTGAATGGATGGGTGGATGAGTGGATGAATGAAGGAGTGGCTAGATGGATGACCAGATGGACAAACTGATGGATGGATTGATGGGTTGATGGATGGATCAGTGGATGGATGGATGGATGGTAGATGAATGAGTGGGTGGCTGAATGAATGGCCAGATGGACAAACTAGTGGATTGATGGATGGATAGATGGGTGAATGGATGACAGAGGAGTTGGATAGATGGAGGGGATAGGTGGATGGATAGATGAATGGAATTAGTGGATAGCTGAATGGATGAAGGGACAGGCAAACTGGTGTATGAGTGGGTGGATGAATGAATGAGTGGCTAGATGGATGGCCAGATGGACAAACTGATGGAAGGATGGATGGATGAACAGATGGATGGATAGCGGAATGGATGGATGGGCAGATCGAGTGGTGTACTGCAGGGTGGATAGATGGATGGCTGCTTAAATTGTGGATGGAAGTATGGTAGATGGATGGATCAGTGGGTGGCTGAATGGATGGCCAGATGGACAAACTAGTGAATAGATGGATGGATAGAGACATAGGTGGATGGATGGATAGCTAGACGGATGGGTGAATGGATGGATGGATAGATAGATAGACAGACCGACTGGTGCATGGGTGGGTGGGTGGATGGATGATGAATGAGTGGACTGATAATGTACGGTGGATGAATGGACAAACTAGAGGATGGACGAATGGGGAATAGATGGATGAATGGGTGAATGGATCAGTGCATGGTGAACATACCACTGACCACCTGGATAATTTGTAAAAAAACACAGTTACAGTCTGAGTCCAGGCATGTGTTTGTAGTAAGCAGCTTTAGGTGAACTTCAGCTTGATATTGCCTCGCTTTCTCTCTCTCTCTCCCTCCGTCTCTCTTTCTCTGTCTTTGATCTACAGGAAAGGACGGCAGATCGAGAGATCGGAGCAGTATGTGTTGAGCACACTTGAAGGAGGCAAGAGCACGCTGACCATTAAGAACATCAAACAGGGTGACGGAGGCCCTTACACCTGCAGAGCCAGCAACAAGGCTGGAAGCAAAGAGAGCGAGATTCTCCTCAAAGTGTTCGGTGAGTACATAAATACATCCGTCTCCAGCTAAACCTGCTGTCTGCTATCTTTACACTCACCATCCAATTTGTTTTACCCACCCTCTAGTCCTTCATTAGTGGTCAATTTCTGACCACAAAGCTGCTCTTGGCTGGATGTTGAGTGGCAGACGACAATAAATCCAATTATGACACTGATGTGTAAAAACCCCAGCAATGGTGCTCTGCCTGTTACACCACTCATGCTAACATGTCACGACTGTACTAGTACCAATGCTGTGCTGAGAATGATCCACCACCCAAATACTATATCTGGACAGCAGTGATCCTGTGGTCAGAAGCAGTGATGAATGGGCTAGAAATGAGGTGGAGGCTGGCATGTATGGCAACAGAAAGGCTGCAGTCTGTAATTGTATATCTACAAGCTGGACGTGATACAATGGCCAGTGAATTTAGATTCATGGTACATAACTGGCAACTTAGAGCCAGATGTATGTACGAGTGCAGATGCAGCTCAAAATTTTCTTTAATGTGACTGCAGTACGTGTCCATAATGCACCTGAATTTAATGTTCAGTTTACTAAGACTGCAGCTTATCATGCATCAAACTGCACAGGGAGTATTAATACATTTTTCCCACCACAACAGTCTACAGTGTCACTTATTCCTGACAGCAAAGAACGTTCTTTCAGCACATGTTCGAGACTCGTGCCACCGTCTAATTGCTGTGTCTTCTTCCATTGTTAAAGTAAAAAAAGTAGCATTACTGAGTCAGGAGAAAATATACACATGAAAATATGATGTCTGTGCGCTGCTGCAAGTCTCACTGTAAAACCTGAATTAATAATTTAAAATGCCGGGGAAAATCGACGTAAAATCGGCCGCCACAAATTGCTCAAACTTTAGTAAATCTAATGGAATAAATATATTCAGCCACTTATGTAATGTCTCCTCCTACTTTTTGCCCAGTTCTCCCTTGTTGTACACGACCCTACTTCAAATGCATATGCATGTGGCCCGTAAACTCTGGGTTTAAGCTCTTGTGCCAGATCTGAAAGTAGCGCAAATGGCTTAGTACATCAGGAACTCAATGTACATAAGTCTAGTGTAGTAATTTAGTAATGCCAGGCCCTCCCAGCTGGCCACATTCAGTAGGAATCCTTATGCGGAGCCCTTTCTTATTCTTTTCTGACACTCATTCGGACTGCTTTGGAAGGGCACATTGAAATTTTCTTTGCAACTCCAATGAAATATTGAGTCAGTCCCTATACATAGGCACAGTAGAAGAGCATTGGCCTTTTCTTTCTGTGCGTTCCCTTTCATGTCTGCTTTTCTCAAAGAAAATGAACCACTCCGACTTTGCACCAATGCAAACACAGCTGGGGTAAGTTAAACGTGACTCCATTTCAAAGACGAAAAACAAGTGTGCACTCAATTATCATGGAAAGCTCAGCTACATACTTTATACAGTTTATATTTTTTTAATGGCACCAGCATGCATATCGGGCGAGTGATTGTTGCGTTTGGGGCGCCTTCCTTCTTTGTGTGCATGGAAATGCGCAGAGATTTATTCACGCCCTCCCCCAAAGCTGCTAGCACTTCAAAATGCACATTTGTATGGTGGTCTTATTGGATAGGAGTTTTGTTTTGCAAAGCATGGCAGCAGCAGCAACACAGATGTGACTTTTGCGAAGTTCATAGCCCTTGACAGCCGGCACGCTGGGGAGATGGAAAGAAACCGGAGAGTAGTGGAGGAGACAACACTTGAAGATGAAGGAAGAGAGTTATTTCAGAGCCGTCTCTGCATGAATCTATTGAATCTATAATATTCATATCACACACGGCGTTCTGGTTATCGTTATTATAAGCTGTAGTCAGTAGTTAGCCTAGTGATGTGTTTAAATATTTAAATGGTCATATGGCGAATTGGTGCTATGTGTGCGAGTGCTTAGTGTAGCAGTCCTGATTTATTTGCGCCGCTGGCATGAGCGCTGCTTTTGATCTGTTGATGTGGGCAGACTATCTACTCTGACTGGTGTCTCCTGCATTTAGTATCTTGATAAGGGCAAACAAACATGGTGCCTTTTAAACTTCTCTTCTCTGGAAACGGCCAAGAAGTGCACAGTGTCATGCTGTTTCTGTCATCGCGGACACAAAAGCTCACAATGCTGAGTGACACTCAATATGTGACCATTGATTTTCCAGCCAGTCAGCTTCAGGTTTGTGGAAATTTGATTAAATATCTCCACAGGGAAATGGTGAAACACAGACCTCTGAGGATGTGTCATCACTGATACTGGTGCCTGCACAGACTCAAAACTAGAACTATTTAATTGTGGGCAGTGTTTCACCTTCCTCTGTGTTTATAGATTAAACTCTCTTTTCCACTGTTCACTGTCATGCTCCTAACACTTTTCACTGGTTTTCACTGGTACCAGTGACTGATTCTCATAGATCTATTCCTCACTGTTAGTCTGATAGGCCTCTAAGAGTAGACATTGGTTATCATTGTTTAATCTAAAAAACTGTCCAATGACAGGCTGGCCTTTTTTTCCTTTTTCTCTATTCTATTATAATAGTGTATATCGTAAAATGTTATTCTCTATTCATGTTGCTCATGTTATTGTTTGCTATCCGGTATTGATTTAAAGAGGATGGGTTCCCCTTTTGAGTCTTGGTTCCTCTCAATGTTTCTTCCTCTTGCTCTTAGGGAGTTTTTCCTTGCCAGTGTTGCCGTTGGCTTGCTCATTCGCTTTCTCCCAGTTAACTGTTGAACACAATTTTTCAAGTAGTAAAAAAAAAATCGTAAGTTCACTGGCATAAGCATGTTTATGTTACAATTTTGCCTCTTCATTTCAGTAGTAAATCCCATTCTGATCTGTCCTCTATTGCTCCCCCTGAGCAGTGACCACAGTAACATGAAAACACACTGTGAGTTTGTACAAAAGGGCGAAAAAAAAGGAGACTTATCATGCACCGTCAGTTGTTTGCAAAGGAATATTTGCTTGCTTGTAGCATGTTTGTTGCAATATTTGCATTTAGGCCCAATCCCATTTCACCCTTCACCCCTACCACTTAACCCTTAGCCCTCCGTTTTGCGTGTTTACGCCTAGGGGTAGGGGGTCTCGATTTTTGTTGAGATAGAGGTGTAGGGTGAAGTGTTAGGGCCACATGGCCCTTCAAATGGAGGAATTTCAGAGGCACACTCCAAACGAAGTGTTATGAGGGAAAAAGAAGAATTAGCGGTAGGCGATAATAAATAATTGTCACATCCTCCTTCTTTGAAGGCATATGATTCCCTAAATGTAACTGAAGCCCAGCAGTAAGGTTGTTGAACTTTACTCCTCCTCTACTATCACTACAGACTGGCAGGGTCGACTACAGAACACCACTAGTAGCCTGTTAGTGAATATTGTTCATTTTTATTTGCAGGTTGTCCCATTTTGTGGGGGAGATTTCAATCACTACCCCTTGTAACTCCAGGGGTAGGGGTAAAAGTAAGAAATAGGATTAGGCCTTGGACTCCTTAATGAGTATTTTACAGGACTCTGAAATTGGCACTTTGAATAAAAAATGTACATATGGCAAAACGTATTGTCTTTGGAACATTTTTGTTTACCACAGGGTGCGATAATGAGGATTTTAGAAAACACCGTTCATTTTCCCACAGAGAAAATCAGCTTAGTGTCTTATTTGGACATGACACTGAATAATAATTACCTCAGGGGTCTATTGTTTTACAGTTTTGTTTTACCCAACACTGGCTAGAGTGTTATGAAATTACTTTTCTTTGAGGAAAATCAGAAAAATAAGCGATAATGAATATATATATATATATATATATATATGTATACATATATATACAAACTGTTCTTAATGTGCAGTTACAACAAATGTAGCTCAGCACTCCTACAGTGTCTGTTATATGTTTGTCAAACCATTTTTTTCTTGTTCTTATTTCTATTAATTTCTTTTTATATAATTTTAATTGATCTTAACTCTATACCTTCAATATTTATTTAATGTAATGAACTTCCAGTGCAAATATCCACTTCAGATTTACACAAATCTTCTGACACTGTACTGATAAATATGAACACAGTTTGTGTTTATAAGAATAAACAAATACTGGTTTTGAAAAATTGATTTGGACAAAGTGTTTAGACACCACAAATTATTAAACATTAATACATTGTTGCGAAGCCATTGTTGGCAATTACAGCTGGAACACATCTCTAGTAAGAAGAAATGTGCTTTTGGCAGCATTGTGGTTCAGTTTTGGCCCATTCCTAAAATGGCGTGGGTTCCTCTGTTGGACTTGCAATTTCAAAATTCAAATGTCCAGTGGCATTCAAGGCAGGAGATTGGCTAGGCCATGCAAGCAACTTCAACTTTTAAAGAATTTTTTCAATGTTGTTTTTTTTTCATTGTTGATTTCTTTATTTCTTTTAAAATGAAGTTGTAAGAAATAGATTAATTCATTTAAAAAAAGTGCCATTTCATGGTTTCATGTCACTACTGAAACACAAAAAAGGTGGGGCCTAATTTTAGCCACACCCCTGCAATTTACAGAATTAAGTGAGACTGCATCCCTGTCCCTCATGGCCATCTGGAAAGCTAGTTAGATCCCAGTGTTTTGAAGTAAATGTGCCTCAAAGCCTAAAAATCAGTGTGTAACATTCAGAATTGTCACTATCGAAACACATTTTTTTCTGCAGTTCAGAAAAATATTCTGATTTTATATGTGTAAAATAAACTAAATTAAAGTATAATTAGCAAAAGGATCCAAGTCTCTCTCTGGAATTCTTTGGAACTTGGACTTCGAATTAATTTCATAGAATGATTCATGTGTCATGTATATGTATGTGTGTGTATGTGTGTGTGTGTGTATATATACACAGTCATGTGAAAAAATTAGGACATCCCATGAAATATTTAGTTAGTCTTTATAAAGAAATATGGACATCAATATTAGATCTTTTTTCAGGCGATATCTGTGGCTAAAGGTGCTGTAATTGCATCACCTTGGCAAAGACAATGACTTTTTCATTTATTTAACAAATTTAACAGATAAAAAAAAGATGCCAATTCCTACTGAGGAAAAAAGGTAGGACAATCTATGCCCTGCCAGCTGGTATTTCCCCCTTTGGCTGAAACCTTAATTAGACATTTCCTATAACCGTCTACCAGTCTCTGACATCGACTGGGACAAAGTTTTTTCCACTTTCCATACAGAATTCTTTCAGCTGTGTGATGTTGAATGGGTTTCTTGCATGCAGTTTAAAGTCACCTGACAGCATCTCAATAGGATTAAGATCCAGGCTTTGACTTGGCCATCCCGGAGCTCTCCACTTCTTCATTGTGAGCCATACCTTGGTTGATTTACTGGAATGTTGGGGTCATTGTTGTGTTGCGTGGTTCACCTCTGTTTCAGCTTCAGTTTTTGGGTAGATGGTTTCACATTGTCCTCAAGCACCTTTTGATACAATAAAGAATTCATAGAGGATTCTGTGATGGAGCGCTTGCCAGACCCTGCTGCAGCAAAGCAGCCCCAGACCCTGACATTTCCATCTCCATGCTTCACAGTTGGTATGTAGTTCTTGTGCTCAAATGCTGTGTTTGGTTTGCGCAAAATCTGTCTTCTGTGACTGTGCCCAAATAAGTCAACTTTGGATTCATCTGTCCAACGCATGGAAGAGCTAGTCTTTGTCTAGGTGTTTTCTGGCAGACTAGTTTTGTGCTGATGTTTTTCTATGACATTTTAGAATTGTTGGAGACTCCTTTACGCATGTTGCAGTCTGCTCTTGGGCTGAACTTGCTAGGACGGCCTGACCTAGCCATGTTAGTAGTTGTTTTGACTGTTCTCCACTTGTAAATCATTTTCTGGACAGTGGAATGGCAGATTTCTAATTGTTTTGAGATCTTTTTAAATCCCTTCCCAAACTCATATGCATCCACAGCTGTCTTTCTGAAGGCCTCAGAGAGCTCTTTGGTTAATGCCATGGTGATATCTCTTACTTCAACAATCAAAAGCAAACCAAACAAAATGTCTGAGGTTTAAATAAGACAGTCTTGTCAAAAATCCTCTCTAATATTTTTCTAATCATTTGCAGCTGATGTGGTGCACCTGATTCTAATTTTAGGCATTTCAAGTAGTAATAAATGTGGGGGGTGTCCCAACTTTTTCCTCACAAGAAATTTCTGTTAGTTACATTTTCCAAATTGTTTTTCAAAGTCATTTTTTCAGTTTTATTTGTTTAGTCGTATATAGATATAGAGGTACTTATCAATAACAATATCGGATATCAAACATTTTCATATGAGTCAGGCATTGCTAAATAAATCAGACGTGCTAATTAAATTAGACTAGCACTGTTCAGTAAATGGTTGATTAAATGGTTTTGGATTGCATTTGTACTGCGGCTCCCATGTGTGTTGATTGTGGCTCTACCCGAAACCTTTGGCACATCTGCGTGGGAATTAGGCGCTAAGCTCATAACTGTTTCTGTTTACTTGTTAGTGTGTATGTGTATGTGTGTGTGTGTGAGTCTGTGGGTGTAGATGTTGCCACAATCTCTCCATCCGTCTCTCTGGGGGGGTTTCAGAGTGTCTTGCTCTACAAATAACTCCTTGATCTCTCCAGACAGCGTTCAAAGGCCCACACTGTCAACTGCTCTTCTATTTGGCTCCATTCAGTTCAGTATGGATTTATTCTGTGCCATTCAGCCTCACTGTGCGCAACTCTTTCCACAGAACTTATCGAAAGAAAACGGAGTATTATGCATGGAGCCTTGCGTTGGGTTGTTTGCCCTTGACAAGCATGGTGTTTAGGGGGAAAACTCGCTAAGCCATGGAGGGGGGAGAGGAGCTTATCTGTGGAAGACAAGCTAGGGGCACAGGCGCACCACACATGCAGTGTTTATTGGGGTGTTTAGCATAATATAAGATGCTACATCACTTTAGATACCTCCTGGCTGTTGAACGTGGGTTCATCAAGTAAGAAAGTGAACAAGCTTCCTACAAGCTGCTCTGTGGCAATCAAGGAGGAAGTAAAAAAATAGGACTTGCTGTGGCACTCTGGCGCATTTTTAAGGTGGGAGGCAAGTGATGGCTCACGCTGAGAGGATGAGAGAGGGAGAGATGTGAGAGAAATAGTGTGGGATGGGCTGATTGTGTTCAACTCGAGTCTTTTCCGTCAAGTCTCTTAGCTGCTACACTTTGGAGACAGAACAAGCTGTTTGGTGTAAATTGGGATAATACTGACAGCGATTACTGATCCGAAGGAATATCATACAAATGCACAGCAAATCTGTACTGTTTTAAAACTCTTACAGCGATGATATGCGGTCCGTGCTGTAGGTCAGCTGGTGATTTTGTTCTTGTTGCAGTGACACTGACAGAATCACTTGCTGTAGTAACAGTTTTATGTTACATACAGTAATAAGTTATACAGTGTGAATCTTAGACTACAAGCTATTTGCCAAAAAGTGTTTTAAGTGTTTCAATCAATATTGCAATAATTCTGTGAACAAGAATTTATAAAATGATAAATAATATACTATAATTATCTGTTGCATAATTTGCTTGTAATTTGCTTGCAGGTGTTCAGACCTTTGAATATGTCTGCATACAATACGTTCACCATTCTGGACACATCTGAAATTCCCTAATTTTTATTTACAGCTTTCTGATTACTTGAAAGCTGTAAAGTTAACATGACTTGTATATTCACATCATTATGTAAACTCTCTGTAACCAAACTGGCTTTGTAATATTGCAAACAGCCATTCCATGCTTTTGAACAGTATACATTTACGTATATATTTACGTATACATTTTATAAGAATCAAAGGGAGAAGCTCAAGTTTTTTACAACAACTTCGGTGTGAAAGAGTGATGCACTGATCAAGAATTTTTATGGCTGATTCTGACTTCATTAAACAACATACATCCATTAACTTCAACTATTGGAAAACATCAGCAATTTTTGTTGATGTTTTCCAGTGGTTGAAGATAACGTTGTGCCTCCATCGAAAGCCAAGTCATTCCTGCATATCGCTGTTGTCAGAAAAAAAACTCACATTTTCAAAATGATAACTTTACAGGAAATGGAAAAAACACACTTTACTTTTAATGTAAGTCAATGGAACCAGACATTTTTCCAAGTCATTTTTTAGCCATTTCTTTTGGTCCATTCATCGTGAAATTTACACACAATGTAAAGGACAACAGGCATTTTCACATTATGTCAGAAACTGAGAAATACGAGGTTTTCTTTCAACAGCAGCGATATGCTGTATGTGACTGTTTTTTTTGGTTAACTTTCAAACGTAGTTTGTTCTTTTTCTTTGGCTCTCTGCACACACAAGTAGAACACTACAAATAAATTGCTGTCTTCTTTAGGACAGGGTGCCGCTTTGAAAATGTTTGTTTTTAGTGTAAATGAAAATTCTGCAATGGAAGTATTTGTCGACAATTTTTTATCGTCTACATTATCGATAATGTTGCATAATTATTTCAGCACTATTAGACACTGTTGTCCATCTCATGAAGGATTTGATTACGGTGAAATTGCAGGGCAGTGGATCCCCAGAAGTGAAGAACTTCAACTCAACCACTCTTTCTGTCCTCTCCACAGTCCAGCCGCACATCACGCATTTGAGGAATGTGACAGCAGTGGAAGGCAGTGCTGCCATGATCTCCTGCACAGCTGAGGGTGAACCTTTGCCTGAAATCTCTTGGAGAAGAGCCAGCGATGGGCAGACGTTCTCACATGGGGACAAGGTATGGCAACATACACGGGTCAATCCCTGTGAAATCACCAATGATCTCCAGAATCTCAGAAGTGCTTATAGAGTCACAGCAGCCAAACTGACAAATATAACCATCGCTGTTGTAAACATACCAGCTCACATCCTACAGCAGCGCTGCAGTAGCCTAGAGAACAAGAATTTTCAGTTTAAATATTAGGAAACCCCCTTTAGATGACTTATCTTGAAGATTCATTATCTTGAAGATGAATTAAAACTGCTTTGGGCAAATTTTGGCTGTTGAACGCAGAAGGACGGCAGATAACTAGCATTACTGCTAGGAAGTCAAATATTCTATTACAGCCATATACAGTAACTGTAGTAATTGTCTTCAAATCATCATTAAAAATAGGGAGGTGACTGGGGCAACAAGCTAAGAGCTAAAGTAGCTACCTGGTTGTCGAAATTCCTAACCTCAATTTGGCTCATTTTCTCTTGCTGAAAGGGTAAAAAACTTGTCCCTGGCATCCTTTTCCAGCTAAATAAAGATAGAACCGCTGTTTTCTTTACAATTTTGTTTGACAGCCTAGGTAATAGGTACACTACCTGATTTATTAGCCTGTAGGTCAAAGTCTAGGCTAACAGTCCAAATTGGTTGGCACCACAGGGTTTCTGGTGGTTGTACGATGTATTTGCGTAATGAACACTGGACATTGTATTTGGCAATCACTCACAAACTGAGGCTGAGGGATATAATGCTGCACTGCACAATACTGCATATTATGACAAATTACATGTTAAATTAGTTTGAGGTCAAGCTAGATTAAAACTTGATTAGTCTCTGAGATAAAGGCTTTAAAAAGTATTCTTAAGTTTTCCTTTAAAATAAGTGAAACTAAAGAAGATGCAGGCCTAAACTTGCACACTCTCTGTTGGGCAGAGTGGCTATTTCCACAAAGGATCATTTAAGTCTAAGATGGTTGGTCTGGAACTTTTCCTGAAATTTGTCAATTTCAGCCATTTTGCACTCTTGTAGAGATCTCGTACAGACATTACCTTTTGCACCTTGTAATGAGTACAAGCTGGAGGATGATGTACAAATGGAAACTGTGGAAAGTGTTGACAAATGAGATCTAAATAACTCCTAGAAGGTTGAAAGATATAGATGTGTGTGAATCCTGACCCTCTGTCTCCTCTGTGGTTACAGGCAAAGTAACATAGCTAGCCAGATGCTTTAGTGTGTTTGATAGAAACTGATAATTTGATTGTGCCATCTAATCACAAAGCCTTCCAATTGCTTTAAGTGTCTAGTGACAGCCGTCTTCTTCTCACAATGAGGTCAAGTGCCGTTCATGAGATATCCAGATACAAGCACAATGTGCTACAGCTGGGATTCAAACTTGGATCCCAGCACAAAGGTTTAATCAAACAAGAGGCACCTCAGCGGCTCTTCAAAGACTTTTTCCGAAAAGCACTCTTCATTAAGACAGTTCAGTATGCACATTATCCCGCCTGCCCCAGTTTTCTTGGAGCGGAAACACGTCAATCTTAAGAAACTTGTACGGCCATAGTGACAAATTTCGTTTACATCTAAAAACGAAACAATCTTACAATAGACAGAAAATGAATGCATAACTTGACTAGCCACTTACTTGGACCAAACAGCAGACGAATGAAAAGTGTGGTGCTCGTTTCCCTGAGGCACATGCAATTTGGGTGACAAGTCCAGAAAACAAGACGGCATGGGCGTGGATGCAGTACTCTGAGCGCAAACTTCTAAACAATCTCTTTACAGGTTTTGTGACAGGAGCATCAGAGTGGGAAGCTTAGCACTCAATCCCTTCTCATATTTTCAGTCAGGACTGTTATAAAAGCACAGCAGTTTTGGTCAAGATGGACGGATTAGCTTTGGCGATTGGAATGTTTTTCTGTGGCAAAGCCTTGAAGCTGTTGTGGGTGCTGGTTGCAATCTGATGGAGCCTTCCCAAGTGCCACTTCGTACCCTATATCGCTTAGTGCCAAAAGTCATTTGGCCCTTTTGATTGGCTATGTCTTATTGTGTTTCAGGCCTTTTTGCCCAGCATCAGTGCTTGACCTCAAAAATTCCTACAGACAAACTCCAAAATCTTGTGGAAAGCCTTCCCAGAAGAGTGGCGGCTGTTGGGGCTGCAAAAGGAGGGTGACTTCATATGGTCTGGGAATGGGATGTCTGACACTCAAATAGGTGTGATGGTCAGGTGTCCACATACATATATATATATATATATATATATGTGTGTGTGTGTGTGTGTGTGTGTGTGTGTGTGTGTGTGTATGTGCATATAAACCTGGAAATAAACACCAGAAAGTTTTAGAATCAAAGTTATGACAATTAAAATGAAGAAGAAATATTTAAAATGCTGCATTGTTTCTAAGTCATTATTCAAACTGAAGCAAATTTGTGAAATTAATAATGTTTTTATTTAGTCTTATTTCTTCTACAGAAACACATGTTCTGACTCCTCTAAGGTGGGTTTGATCTACTGATCAGAGGCTTCTGCACAAACTTATGGAGTCCAGGCCAGTTTGAGCGCACACTGTCAGTTAAGCAAAAGAGGGACATACTGTACCGAATACTAAAACTAAAATGTGTACACATTCAAGATTGAATTGAATTATCATTTGTAGTGCAAAATTTGTATTAAATTAGAAAAGAATGCAAAATAGAAGCATTTTCACCAGAGGTCTCAGACTTTGGGACACCACTGTATGTGTATGTGTATGTATTCCAGTTGAGGTAGTTCTTCCTGTGTATTAGCTCAATAAAAAACATTGAAGAACAAAATTTTGAAGCAAAGTAAAAAAGTGAAGAAATGTGTATTTTTCTGTTTTGAATTATCATTCTGTGCAGGTGAATAAAGAATTTTGGATGGCATACATAGAGAACCTCGTGGTCTCTGAGTGAGGCACATTGGCTCAGATCTGACCTAAATTGGGCACACGTTTGATCTGTTCCAAAGGGCCCATCCATCAAACGTTATGCAAGGACAGAGTCTGTGATAGCGCTCTAACTTCAGCTAGCCAGACTGGACTGCCTCTTCGCTCTCTTTAGCAGTTCTGTCCCCAGACTGAGAACTCTGCAGAATATCAAACAGGCCAGCAGCTTCAGGCGAAGGGGTGTCAGAGAGACTGTCTATGGGAGAGAAAGAGAGAAGTGTTGGTAGTCAGCAATCTGCATCACTCAATTCCTCACATTGGAAGCTGGTGCCAGACTGTAAATTTTATGTTTTGAAGTTGTAAAAAAATAAGCGAGATGGCATTACAAGAAGGAGAATATGCTTTCTGGCAGCTTTTTTTATTAGCCCCTTTTATTAGAGCCATTCGACTGGCAAGAGAATTTCACAATGCATCGTAATGTTTGTGAGTGCAGGGCGTGCCGATCAAGCTTATACATATGAGCATGTTGAGGTGTGTAAAATATTACTCATTCACAGATACACACACGTAGACGTATGTAGAAATGATTCTGCAAATGTACGGTACTGTGCAGAAGTAAGAGAACACACTTGGTTTGTATAATTATCTGTCTACACAGCCATTAAATACAAGATATTCGTTTTTCAGTGTCAGGTAAAAAGCAGAAAACATACATTTAACAGAAAATTACACAGCAGCCTCAACGACTAAATATAGTATCAATTTTTCAGTATTTAGTCTGTCCACAATTTGCCTTTCACTAGACATTCCACTATATTTCAGGAGACTTGCTTTCAGTTTTTCAAAGAAATCTGCAGGGATATTTTTTGTTCACACTTAAATTTTTCCAAAGTTGAGTCTTAGAAGTTGGTTGAATTTTCTGCTGATCACGATCCAAGTAATCACATCATTTTTTCACATCTGAGGCAAGAGTGCAGCTTGATATTCTCCTATCTCTCAAAAATGCTTTATATATCTGATGGTGACTGTTTTGGTGGTCTGCTAGGTCTGCAAGTGGATTATCTCATATCTAATCTCTTCTCAGAAATATCTCCTGGAAAATGAATAATGGGCATTTTCACTGGAAATTAAATGAATGAAGGGTGGTCTCTGACTTCTACACTGCATGTGTGTATGTCACTAGAATAATGATTAATCATCTGCATTTACTTAGACTGGAGAGCAGCCCTGGAGTCCTCTTCCAGCCTGCATTAATGGCTTTCGTCAAATGTAATGCTGAAGTGCAAGCAGGGGCAAGCAATAAAGTTAGCTGTCACAGGTCTGCTCTACATATGCTGTGGCATTAGCAGAGGAGACACATATCGATTTGTCAGCAAGAGAGGAGCGCAGGGATCGTTAAAATGGGCGTCTCCGCCAATCTCAGCTCCGCTCAGGGGGGAAGAGTACCTCTCTAATCTCCTAATATTCCAAGCTGGAGGCTTGCTGAATGATAATTAGCACAGACACAAAGTCCATATATTTATATCGAGCCCTTTTCTGATGTTTAGAACCTTGAGTGTCCACATCGATTTCACCTTTGGCAAGAACTCATCATTTTACATGGTTGAATTTTAACTCTAGCTGTTGGTTCATACATGGGTTTGCGAGACATGCTGGTTCAATTGAGCTTAACAGTCAGCTTTTTTGTAAAGAACATTTGTGCTGTAGCATGAGTAGTTGATAAATCAATATTGTGAACTTGTTGTTATGAACGTTATTAGAAGGGATGCACAGTGATATCAGAATCATATCCATGTCTGTAGATTATGTGAAAAGGTTACTGATTTTTCTATATAATTAAAACATTAAGATATAAACAAAGTCATTCAGAGTGGTTGGTGTCATATGCTCCGTTCTAGATAAACATGGAGTCAGAATTGTTTACAGTGGTGGTGAAATAAACCAAACGTCAGAAGAGTTTAATGCCTCTGAAAGCTCCTGCACAGAAAGCTATTACTTGGAATAGTTACATGTACTTTGCTTAATGCCTGAGACAAAACTTTACATTAGTTTTCAGATGAAGTTTTGACCAAAAAAATATTTTCTAAAATCCATTCTTGGCAGAGTTACATGCTGGCCATTGTAAGGCAAAATAGAATCCAAAGAAATCTTAATTTTTCAGGTTAACCACTATTTTGCCATCACTAGTATTTAGGATTACCTGTGAAAACTCAGAAGACCTGTAGATTTGCTTTCACTATTCTTTTCAAGCAAATCGTCAGCATTTTCTATCCATGAAAAATATGATTCACACCTGAACAGTGTGGAGTTTTTTTTATTGTTTTAGTACTCAGTATCATATAAATAGTTTTTATGTTATGAAAACATATAGATTAAATATGTATGCTACCCGTGGAACAGTAGAATGGATATAGCCAGTAGTTTATTTGTTAACTGAAAATTTCATAGCTATGCACTTTTTATTTTAAAATGTTTTGCCAATTTGCAACATTTTGTTATGGGGATATAGCATATTGATTATAGAAACATTCTAAATTTACATTATTTTTCATGAAATGTGTTTGCACATCATCACTTTATATTTGTTATATGAATAAAGAGCAGGAACCACCAAAATAGGTGCTGGATTCAGTCTTTGAGGTGGTTCTGGCTTGTTCTGGCACAAACGAAACCTGACTAAAAGGGCAGCTTAGGCTTGTTAAGATGCCAGAGATGTTCAGGTGAATGTACAGCAGTGATTTCCAACCCTGGATCTTAAGAACCCCTGGCGTGCACACATTAGTGCTCTAACACACCAATTCCAACTCAGAAAAAGTTTTTTTTTAATAAGCTGATTAGTTAGATCAGGTGTTAGAGGAGGGAAAGAACAAAAATGTTATACATGTATGCACTGTTTTAAAATGTGTCTTTTCCATTGTTTCATTCCAAGTTGATCAGTGGCTTATCCATGGTGTTAGAACAAGGCCGTCCAAATTCCCAGCAGAAACTTGGCTGGCAGTCCGGTTTGTCTTGGCTTGGTGAAATGTTGCTATTATCGGGTTTGTGTTCATTTCTTTCAGAGCCAGGACGGGAGAGTGGAGGTTCAAGGACGTCACGGCAAGTCCATGCTGACCATCAGCGGGGTCCGACTCTCTGACTGGGGACGTTTTGACTGTGAGGCCCTAAGCAGGATTGGAGGCCATCAGAAAAGCATGTTCTTGGACATTGAGTGTAAGTAATTTCAGCTCCAGTTAGCAAGTGAGATAGTAAATAGTGAGACAACAGCAGGGTTTCTTTTCTGAATAGTCATTACTAGAAGATGTGGATAAATCAGTGTTTCCATCAACTACTATTAACACGCAGTTTCCCAAAGGTAACTTTACACACTAGCACCATATGGCACAAGACAAGATTGGCTCTGCAGTGTTTGCCTGTGCTGGCTCAGTGCTTTTTACATAGTGGCAAGGTTGGAAAAACTCTGTTTAAATGGAATGTTGGCTGCACTTATACTGGCTCTTATATAAATTGTTGCATAGCCTGTCTACAATTCAAATAAAAAATGTCACCAGGATCTGTTGTAGCTGTCCCTGCTAAGGATGAATTTTCACTTGTGGATTCAGAAAGCGCATTTCAGTTTTACCAGTCTTTGGTAGGGTGTGCAATGATATCCCGTGACGTTTGTAATGATATGACATAACACCATCTGAGCCGGAGCTTTTGGGATGCGAAAGCAACATATGCCAAATCATGTGCCACTTATAAATGGGGTGGAAACCACGGCCACATGGCGCAAACATGCTGGATGTATACTGGGGACCACCAAGTCTTGCTAGTACGTGGAGGGATTTAAACTTTTATTAGCTCTCTGTAGAGCAGCTGGGCAGAGCGGGTCGTGGCCCACTTAATGAGGATTGAAGTCACTCCCACTTCACTGTCACCCACCAAACCACTGGAAATGTCAGTCTTGGCGAAGCATTGATGATTGCTGCTGTTTCGCATAGAAGCATAAAAGAGATAGATGGAACGCCATCTGGTTGCAAGAATTGTGATAGTTACAAAGCAGTTACAAATCTGCTTTACTTGCAGCAGAGCTAGCTTAGTAAAGTGACTGAAAACGCTTGCTAATTGCTGTTTCTGTGCTGCTAAAACTGTTACTGAACAAAATATAGTCAATGAGCTACTGCCTAACACTTCTCCATGGCCTCTGTCATGCTTAAAAGAAAAAAAAAGCTGATAAAACTACTTTACTCTGCTAAAAAATAATGAACTAATTACGCCTTGTTGCCTTGCAAAAAAAGGAAAAAAGTTATTTTGGGTATATAAAACTAAAGACAAATGCCCTCCAGCAAAGCCAATTAATGGGAGAAAATCATCCTGCATAATTAATTTCACTAACATCTTACTCATTTCCTGGTCTAGAACGGTAAGTTTCCTCAATTACACCGCACTTACAGGGTCAGCTATTTTTCTCTTCTCCTACTAACTTTGGCTGCTGTTATTGCCTTTCTTGCTGTTTCTGGCCTTGGTAAAAGCCGCACATTATATTATTCTGCTGTTGATTAGATAGAAGAAACAGCACAAATGACTAATCTGCTGTTCACCATAGCTGAGGTACAATAGTTCAAACTGCGGTATGATGATGACAGTGATAGGACATATACCACCCAAGATTAGATGGAGAAAGCAAAGAGCAAATCATCTCAATTGCAGCCTTCAGTCAGCCAGCTGAATGAAATTGCAGGGTCATGAGAGTGACCGGATTATATCACTGAATAGCAGCGTTCTGAGGTGCAGGTGCATGCTTGGGATGTTTTCTAAGGACACGGAGAACGCGCTAGCAAGAAATGCTAATATCTGATGGGGTTAGCTCAGGTGGACTTGGCCCTCTGTGTCAGTCAAAACAGTAATAATCAAAACCGCCCAACCAGCAAGGCTGTTGCCCTTGACATCACTGTTCCTCCTTCACAATCCTTAGCTCGCTCTTAGAGCCGGTTGAGAGGGAGGGGGTTGTTGGTGTTCGAGTGAAAAAAGGCATTCTGACTAAGCATGGCAGGAGCTAGCCAACCGTTGCTGGGGTGCTAATGAACTCATTTATTTAGTCTGGAAGCGCTCCTCAACAACCTCGCCTGTCCTCTGACATGACAGAGGGCCGCGGCATCAATCTCTTTAATGGAACTCTGCGAGCCAGCATAAAATAGACATAATGCCACCTTGACTGCAGGCACACCGTCTGACAGTGCTGCTAGCTAGCTAGCACTATTGTTCATTTCCCTTCGCTAAGCATGCATTATTGTTATACTTCGCCCTATCGACTTGAAGGTCTCTGCTTGGCACTTTTCACATGAGAAGAGGGACTGGATGTTGGTTATAGTAGACATGGCTGTTATTCATTATTGCCATTAGACAGATAAATAAATCCCAGGACCCAAAGCTCTGGAATTTTGCTAATGTGATGTACCACATTCAAGCGATTACCTTCAAGCCATTCCTGAGCTCAGACAAATGCATTGCAATGTTTCAGATTTTTTTTTCAGGCCTGGAGGTAGACCCTTCAATTGCAATTGTGTTTGACTAGGAGTTCATTTTGATGAAATGGTTAGATGCAACACCACACTTTAGTTTCACCAGAGAATTGCCACTCAATAACGTCAAAAACTAGAGGGCGCTCCCAAAATGAATGGGTTCCTATGGAGCTTTTGTGCACGTTGAATCATTTTTATACTATATTGCTGTATAAAAATGGAAAGATACTGAAAATTTTTCTTTGGCTTTTATAGTGGAATACATCCTTCTACTTTACAGAATGAAAGGAAGTGTTTTGTTTTTAGTTATTTAGCTCCATTCACCCCATTCATTTTGCAGTCATGTTGTTGAAATAATGGGAGAAATAGGAAGTGGCCAGGCTCCAAACTAGCTGTGGTTTCATGTTCCAGAGCTTCAATAAAACCACCCCAAACTAATATTTCAGTCTGCAGAAGATCTTTGTTTTTTCAAGGGCCAGGAAATTGTTTCTTTAAGGTGCCAAGAACTTCTTAAAGCCTCCTAAGACTAATTAAGACACTAAGAGACTAGAGTTAGACACTGCTCATCTGGCACAAGCCAGCTTGCCTCTGCCATACACAGTATATCACATTGGACATGTATATTAAGTTCTGAAGTTTACTTCTTTACTTTTGCAGTGTAGCTAACAGATAATCGGTATCCCTTAGCATCATGCAGATTGTATGTCTAAACCATAACACACTTGTGTCCAGTTATGTTAAGTTAGATGTTGTCCATCATTTCACCCACTTTTAACAGGACATTTTAAATTAAGTAGCAACTTGACACAGTTGATTTAAGCATACAGTTTGCACAGTGCTATTTGGAAGATTATAATCTTTCTTTATTACAGATACTGTGACACTTATTGTTAGAGTTAGAAATTGTGGCACAGTATGCTTTGCTGAGTATATTGTGGACATTATCAGTACTTACAAAACACTGACCAGCTGCATGTTTCATTAACAAAGAGAACATAACACCTACTTATCCAGCTTTTATTCTCAGTTCAAGGGTATTAATTGAGCGTTTCTCCCTCTGCTCCTCTCCCTAAGAGCCTCTGCTCCTCTGCGAAGGCTTAGATGTTGGAAAATTGCTGTGAGGATTTGATTGCATTCAGCCACTTGAGCATTAGTGGGTCAGGTGATGTTGGATGATTAGTTCTGGATCACAAACACCACTCCAACTCATCCTAAAGGTATTGGATGAAGCTTCATCACTCCAGAAAATGCAGTTATACTGCTTTACAGCTCAATGCTGGGGAGTTTAAAACCCCTCTAGCTAACACCTGGCATTAGTCATGGTTACCTGTGCAGCTGTTCCAGGGCATCCTGTTCTATTGGCAGTGCTTTTCTATGGCGATTATACAAGCTGTGTGTGCGCAATCAAACAATGATATAAGCAATGTGTGCACCTGAAAGTAGCTGAATTCACTAGTTAGAAGGAATGTTTGGATAGTTTAGGACGTATAGTGTAGAACAATAGAACTAAACCAAATATTATAATATATGTCATGCATTATGAAAGGGACTTCAAGTGTCATGATATTATATTTTGGCCATATTGCCCATCCGTGATGTCTACATTGCTTTGTAGCTTCAGTGCAAAACTAAAGAAGTAAGCATTGTTATACCTAATCAACAGACAATTTGGAGTAAGAGTACAATTGTGCATATTTTTTTCTTCAAACCGTCACATTACAAGTGTTACTGACTACATGGGTGGGAAAGGTTTATCCAACAATAAGTAAGACTGATTTACTCTGATTTAGCTTTAGTTCTTTGTCCAAATCTGCCCAAAATCTTACTCCAATCACTTTCTTTTTCAGATGCCCCAAAGTTTCAGATTAATCACACTATCTTCTACTCCTGGGAGGGGAATCCAGTGAACATCAGCTGCGAAGTGATGTCCAATCCCCCAGCCACCATGTTGTGGAGACGAGACAGGTTCACTATCTCCAATGAAGGCACAAGCAATACTCGTATTCATACTGCAGAGGGGAGATCATTACTGGAGGTAAGTTCTAATTGAATGTAGGCATAGATGGGTTAAAATATCAGTAGACATTTTTGAATCTCTATATTGTACTAGCATTGAGGGCACATTTGTAGATTCTCATGACTGAACTATAAGGCTGGGATGGAGTTGTTGTGTCTACTCCTTTTCGACCTGACTCCTATACAGTGTACCAACTTGACCTTGTGATACCAGCTACAAGTTCTTGAGTTCTTGATAGGATCAGCATTATAGGAGCCTGCTACACTGTAACTTCTTTTGAAGTTTAATGCATTTCTACCATTGCCTTTTATAAACATGTTAAATGAATGTATCAACATAATTTAATGAGCTACACATGCTCAACCGTCTCATAAAACTTTATAGCTAACTGTAAAGTGACATTGAGAGAGTTTGAGTTTATAGCCCATTAATTTCTAACATAATCAATGCTCATTCCCTCCTGTTTTCTCCTCATGAGGCTTTCTGTTTGTGTGCAGGTCACCCCAATGTCCGACAGGGATTTTGGCCGATACAACTGCACGGCCAGGAACAACATCGGTGCTCGATATCAGGAGTTTATTTTAGCACAGGCAGGTGTGTGTGTTTACCCACGGTACCCTTGTTTAAGGTTCAGGAGAGGGGAGATCACTAAACAGGTCAGCCTGGCCCAGCCAGAAGCTGTCCGCCTCTTTCTGACCTTTCTAGAGTCTGGCCTTCTTGGCATCTGAGTGGAGTGGGGTTGGATAGCATAGCTTTATTTAAATACACAAACCATGTGTTATTGCTCCAAGACAAAGTGGTACATATGGTACAATCTGTAACTGGCCAGTGGTCTTTATTCTATTGACAACTGCAACGTCTTTGCCTATTAGTGTCCCTCGAGTACTTCTGTAGTGTAGTAGCCACTTTGAATGCAAGTAGGAAGTTCATGCTTGGAAATGAAGTGAAAAGCATTCTACTGTTGATACCAAATCTGCTGAAAGATGAAATATTCAAGCTGGACAAAGCTGGAGTTGGATGAAAATGGAAAACTTTAATAAATCTGAATGGAGAGACATAACGAGTGCAAGTGCTTCCAGACAGGTGCACAATTAAGCAGTTAATATCATATCATGCTCTATGCCATGTGTATAAATGCTCTAGCACAAATTTTATAAACTTTTATAAACTTTCAACTCAACAAAATATTACTGAATGGAGATATAAGCCCATGCACACACAAAAGTCTATCGCATGCAAATTCACAGCATTAAATACAGAAAATAGAAACTGTTAGGCTAGTATAAACCTCTCACTTCATTACAAAGATGAATGCACATTTGAGAGTTCTGTGGTGCAAAAACCATAGACACCGGTGTACCAAGATGGGGAAAAAACTGATATGGTCAGATTAATCCTCCTTTACCATATTCTCCACAAGTGGGCGAGTGCATGTGTAGCATACTCCAAGAGAACAGTACAAGCCTGAATGCTTTACCCCTACAGTGAGGGGGTCTGGTTGCTCTGTTATTGATGTGGGAAAATTTTTTACTGGTATGGCGTGGGTCCGTTTGTTGAATTATTCTGACTGATCATCTATATCCTTTGTTCATTTCTATTCTGAATGGAGTGGTGTGTTAAAGGATAACAATGCCCCCAATCCACAGGACACCAGGTATCACCGAAGGGTTTGAGGAATGTGAAAATGGTCACATGCTATGGCCTTCACTATCTTCAGTACTTACATTTCTATGCAACATTAATTTGCGCTAGTTGATTTGCAGTATACATGTAAGGTAAGTTATAATATAAAAGACAATGTTAACTAATTTCTGCTTATGATTTGATGTGAGGTAATAGGGTGGTGATTTTTAATTTCCATTAATTGCAATTTGTAGGTGTTTGATTTAAGATGATGCTGCCCTATAAGTGTCCAAGCACTAGATAGTAAGGAATATAGTGTGTAGTCTAAAATTATGATGCATAGTACCTCTGTGGATTGCTTATTAGATGAGTGGTTGATAAATGCATTTAGTAATATTTCAGCAATCAAAAAAGCCTTCTAGGCCTGCAAGAGTCCTTCCGGAACTTTTCTGGCAGCAAGGGTGCTGAAGGTGTAAGATCACACCACAGGTTCCGTATCGGAGGGAAGATCTTCCAAATTGCATTTTGAAGGCCAGTTTTTTGGGCCGAGATTAAGCCTTTGAAGATTTTTCAAGTGAAGTTTCTGAGTTATAACCTAGGTCCTTTTTTATCTAAGCCTTAAGCCTTTATCTCAACTTTATCAACTGCTTTTCAAAGGGGTTTTATATTTCCCATAACAATACTCCAGAGCAGCCTGCTGCTTATTTAGCCCAAGCTAATCTGCTGCTAGGCTATTTGATTTACCGGAGAGCTTGCTAATTTACAGTACCTCATTCACTGCGGAGTGGTGCAATCCACTCAAGCTCAGATCAAATGACTTAGACTTCATAAAGCACAAGAGGATATCGCTCTCTTTCTTTCTCGCACATAAAAGCTTACGTGCAGCCATAAATACACGGAGTAACGGGAAAAATTCCTCCTCACGCATAGCAGAGAGCAGAAACAAATATAAGCAGCGACGCAGATAAAACAAATACAAAAACCACAATATATTAAACCCATCAGCCAAGGCGTGACATGAGAGGCATCATGCTGGGTTCAGGCTGCAAACTTAATTAAAAGTGTAGCTTTAAAAGAGAGCTCTGGAGGCCATGAAATTAGGAACGGTGTCATCTCTCCTCTGACATATGCCTGTCATGCTGTGAATGGTTTGTCTTTAAAATTAATGGTTTTAAAACAGTATCAAACATTTCCATGTATCCTGCCGAGTAAAGCCGCTGCAGGAGTGTCTGCGGTTTCTCACTAGACAAGCGTGAGGAAATAAGATTTATAAACACAGATGTGCCTTTTCTGTTCAGTAAGCACAGAGCTTGGTAGGATAAGCATGCTTTCAGAATAGCCACCCATAGTGAGCTGATATTGTTAGCAGTTGAATGGTGTTTTATTTAGCTGTGTTAAATTAGCACCAATAAATAACAGTTTAAACAAATGAATAAATCAATGAATGAAAGAAAACTGTAGTGGCAGTAAGAAGTTGAAAAGTTGGTGAGATACAGTAGTAAGGTACAGATGTACAGTGGTATGCAAAAGTTTGGGTGCCCCGGTCAGATTACATGTTTTGTTGATTTTCTAAATAAGGAAAAAGGTACACGTCCTCTACAGAGAGCACACTTCTACATACTTTAACGCACAGTTACTTGTTATTGTGTTATGTTTAATTGCTGAATTTAAATAGTAGGATAAAAATAAAACATGAAGTGCGGCCTGTGCAAAAGTTATATTTTATGATATATTTTTTCCAAACAAGAAAAACTGAAATTGTGCACAGAAATTTACAGGAAATGGCACATTTTAAGTGTGTTCCCTGTAGAAGATGTGTTAACTTATTTTCTCTTAACTTTCTCTATTAACTTTTACATATGACTGTAAGCTAACATAGGTAACCTGGTATTTATAAATCCTTTGTATTTCATATCAAATTGCAATTTTTTTGTGTGTTTGATACACCATGTCAGGAATAGACCAATAGAAATTATTCAGATTTACTTGGGCAAAATTCTTCTTACAGTTAAGAGTGTTTTTCTCAAATCATCATTTTTTAGGTTCAAGTTTTTTGGTACGTCATCAAGGTAATATTCATTGAGTTTACTGAGATTACAGACGGCATCTCCATTTTTGCATTTGTTCAGACGCCTGTTCCACAGGAAGCCACCACAGAACTCTATAGTTTGACTGCAATGACAATAAAGGTCATTGTCGTTGCAGTCAAACTATAGAGTGGTACAAAACACTTCCATGAAAGAGAGTATTGTAGGCAACAAGCTAGCCATCTGACGTTAGTTATATGTGCGATAACCTTATTGATATATTTACCTTCTCAGAACAGCCAACTGTTGTGTCCGGATGATTGATCTAAAACAAATGCTTCTGTTATCTCATTTAAAAGTGGTACTTTATTACTGTGAGCTTTACTCATCCACAGCATTAGTCTTTTTTCTTATGGGAAAAATGAATGCTGTTTTAGAAAATCGATGCTGTTGGACCCTGTGGTAGATAAAAGTGTTCTAAAATCCATACACTTTGCTGTACATACAGTTTTCCTCTAAATATTATTGGATCCACATATTTAATATGAGGCAATTAAGTAGTTGAAATATGAATATTGCTACATGCAAGCTAACACTGTTATACATTCAGCTGACATCATCAGACTGGCAAGTTTGCCAAAATTCCCCATGCAAACCAGGATGCTTTGCCAAGTATAGTGGGTAAGTTGCTTTGGCAATAGTAGCCCACATTTTGAGAAGCTAATACTGTTAACAGAGATGATGTACAGTATTAGACAATGGATAGGAGTGTTAGTTTGCTTTTGCAGCAAAGCAATATTCATAGTTTGACTACTTCAACTTGTGATTACTTGTTATGCGTCCGGTTATTCATTGTAAGGTTAACAGGGTCAAAAGAACAAAACCATAATCCAAAGTCCAGAGACAAAGTAATAATGTTTACAGTAAGCTTTTTTTCTCCATTGAAACTAATTATAAGGAAGCAGCACAAAGTGGTTGTGTGTGATAAAATAATGATTAGTGATTAATGAAGTTAACACCAGCTTTCTCTCACACCTTACTGGTCATAAACACCGTCACTTACTGGAACCAATAACGCAGAGAGATATTTTACATTTTAGTATGCCACGTTAAGCTGTTTCCTTATATTATTCCTTATAATGAGTTTTAATGGAGAGGAAAAAGCTTAACATAAAACTTCACTCTGTGCCTTGACATTATGAGATCATCCTTCGGGCATGCGATAATTTATGACCACTAAGGTTAGAGAAATTTGGTGCTCTTAGTAGGCCTGTCACAATCATTTTAGCATTTTTAGCTGAAAATGAATTATGATTCTTAAGTTGTCTTTTTGAAAGACAGTGACATTTTATTTAAGTACAGGCTTAAAAGGCCAAAATGGGATTCACTTATCTTGCTTACTAGCTGTTACTGCTCAGCGCAGTAGCTACCAGCTTACAGCACAAACAACTCAAATAAACAAACATTACTCACCGCTGCCCTCTGAAGTTGCCAGTCAGAACTTTTAGAATGTTTATTGTTGTTAGTAAGACCCATGACGTGTGTCAGTGAACACATGAATTTGCCTCAACCCAACTGATAAAAATGCCCCAAGTTCACAATATGTTTGTTTTGAAGTAAACATGTTATTGTGAATCCTAAAACTGTGGGAAATAATTGGAGTCAACTTAAATAATTGTGACGGGCCTAATTCTTGGTTGTTATTTTACTTCATTAAGCTTCAAAAAGTGTATTTTTATAAAAAATGCTTAGAGTGAAACTTTGTACAGCTTTATGAATTTGGCAGCTGATAGTGTCAATAATAAATAAAACAGAGAGAGAGTTTAGTTCTTTTGGTATAAGATCATAAGACCATAAGTGTTTATGACCAGTAAAATGTAAAAAAAAAAGTAAAAAGTCTAATATCCATAGCTGTGTTAAGCATATTAATCATTTTTTCATGTTAAGCCTTTTAGCCTGTTTTTGAACAGTCGGCTGATTCTGTGACTTGTCTAATTAGACATTATATGTGAAACAATATATTGTTATAAAAGCCAACAGGGTACCATTTTACAGATCGACAATAAGTGGGTAATAATATGGTAATAATATATTAACAAGTTGCACTAACCTAAAAATGCATGCTAATTTTTAACTGCTACTAAATAATAAGGTAGTAGTCATAGTGGTAACAAGTTGGTAATAAAAAAAAATGGCATCTCTTTGTACTAAACTAAAAAAGATTTGCTAATTGTGTAGTTGTTAATAATGGATAGAAAGTTCATGAGTAATAATCAATAAAATGTTAGGATAAGATAAAGATAAACATGTATAAAGAAATATGTTCGTATATGTCTTATATAAAGATATATATTTGGCTTTTGGCAGATCTGTGATTTATAACAGAGTAACAGTATTTTGCATTTTATACTTACTAATTAAATTATTTTGTCTCAACTGGAAATGTAACATTTTATTAATGAGTAATTACAGTTTTTACCATGATTTACCCATGTTATTTTCAGGTAATTACCACTACAATTACTAACTAAATAATTAGCCTGTAATTTATAGGTTAGTACAGATTGTTACCATGATATTACAATAATATTACTCACTTATTATCGATCTGTAAAGTGCTACCAGCAGAGCATTTCTGATCGAAAATGACCTGCGAGGCTTCCACGTAAGACAACACATCCATGAGTCACGAAAGCCGTCAGCACTGCATCATCAGCTCTGATTTAGCATCTGTGCTAAGTCACATCTGAGCGATTTGATGCCTTCTTTCTGCTGTCTCATTCACAAAAAAACAAAAAAAACAAACAAAAAAAAACAACAAAAAACATACAGGCCATTTGGTTTTCTGAGCATGGCCTCTACTTTATTCTTCAAAATGAACGTAAAAGGAGGGAGCGGGGAGGGAAGGAGAGAAAGATGTGAATAGAAGCTCTCTGTGAGGCAAAGATCAGTGCTAACCTCACACACGTGAGAAGTGGGAAAGAATCTCTGATGAAACTATTCGCAAGCTCTGGTTTAGCCATTAAAGCTAACGCTTAGCGCAATCAGAAAAGGAGCTTTTATGATTTACGGAAAAAGGGGTTCTGAATAATTCACTGATGGCTCTTTGTAGAATTGTTCTCCCTTGCAGTGTTGCTCATGAATGGAAGGAAGCGAAATGAGATGATATTAAGACGGAGAATCAGCTGTAGCCGGTAATTAAGGTAAAAAGGAGGGTCTTGTTTCTGAAGAAAAGAAAGCATATGGTGGGGCCTCGTTCTTTAGGGAGGGGGTGACATTTATGCTAACGGGGAAATGTCAAAAGAGATGTTTTAGGCAGAGGAAGCAGTGTTGCAAGAGTTTGGATTATGTGCTGGGTGTGTGTACAGCTATGTATCTAGCTCTTTTTGAGCAGCAAACATCCTCAGTATAGTGGAAATAACAAACATTTGATTTTGTCTGGAAATTTGGCTAGACCCCATGTGAAACAGTGCTGGTTTTATTACAGGCATGCAGTTTGTATTGAAAAGATTTTTTTGTGATTCCTTCTCTCGCTTTTTAAATATCTGTCTATCTATATTTTATCTGTCTATAGTTCTATGCTATATATTTAAGTTTTAAGTAACCATAATAATTGTACTTGATGCCTGACTCAGCCTTGCTGACTTAATTAATAGATTCTACTTTTTGAAAGCTGAGAGAATTGCAACTGCAGTGGCTGAGTTTCAAGTGAGTTGCGGGAGGTTTTACGTTTTGTAACTCAGGTTTCAGCTGCTAAAGATGCATGTAAGCTGCGTGCAAAGCCAGTATAGGGTGAGGGTTGGTTAGGTTTTGGCAGAGCACCTACAGTCTAATGCAGAATCTTGGGCGCCCCTATCAAATAACATCTTTTCTTTTCCCAGAATATTAAACCCAGCAAGTAAATAAAAACTAAACACTAATGCCATGTTTTAGTTTTTATTTCCCTGTAGAGAATGTGTTAATTTGTTTTCACTTAGAAAAGCAACAAGACATGTAATCTGACCAGAGGTGCAAAACATGTAATCTGACCAGAGGTGCAAAACATGTAATCTGACCAGAGGTGCTCTTTTGTGTATGACTGTATAGCAATGCAGAAATCAATGGATATTGCCCACAATGACAGGAATATGCGTGCATATGTGTGTGTGCGCATGCACTTGTGCGTGCATGTGTGTGTGTTTGACTCTGCAGGGCAGTACGCAGCTCTTTTGATTTGCTGAGCCCCTGTGGCCCAGCCTGATAAAGGGAAGTGTGATAACGGGATTGAGCAGAGTGCTGATAAATATAATGGCCCCGTCTTTTATCTGTGCTGTGTGTAAGAGTGTGTGTGCCTGTGTATGTGTGCAAAAGTATGTTTCAAACACTTTTTTTCCCTGAGTGTGCCTTCATTCTATTGTATGTGCATACGCAGGTGTACTTATTTTATTTATGCAGCTTCTAAGCATATTACAGCACCTCCATACATACACTACTGGGCAAAAGGCACAGACCACCCTTCATTTATTTCATTTCCAGTGAAAATGGCCATTAAGTGCAAGATATTTATTTTACAACATTAGGAAAAAGCAGAAAAAAATTATTTAATACAAAGTTACACAGAACTAAATAGAATACCAAATTTTTCAGTATTTAGTTTGCTTTTATTGCAGCTTCCATTCTTCTCAGGAGACTTGATTTCGCTTTTTCAGACAAATCTGATATTTTTCCACACCTCCAAAGTTCAGTCTTCAGTTGGTTGTATTTTTGAGCTTCTCAAAAATCCCAAACACATTCAGTGATGCTGAGGTCTGGACTTTGGGGTGGTCAGTCCGTTGTTCTGAGAACACCGGCAGATTCTTTTTGTTTTGCAAATGTTCTTCCTTTTTGTCTGTTTCCTAACAGCTCAGAATCATAATGTTGAGTTGTCCTCTCACAGTGGAAGGATGGACAGAAACACCTGTGGATTTTTTCAGATCTGAAGTAAGAGTGGAGCTTGATTTTCTCCTCTCTCTCAAAAATGAAAGAATCTCCTCATAAATATCTCTTGAAAAATGAATAATTTGCACTTAATGGCCATTTTGACAGAAAATTAAGTAAATTAATGAAGAATGGGTTTGGACTTTTGCACAGTCATGTATAAGGGAAGTAACGCACAGTTCCTCAATGACCTCATATGTCTCATTTTTGATGTAACAAGATTTTATTTTATTTTCAAAAAAGCTTTTATTTAGTATTTTGGACCATGTCTTGTGGTGTGTTCATCATAGAGTGCAACAAGAATGTCTTCTTAACAAGAATGAGTTTTAAAAATGTGTAAAAAAAAGATTTTTTTTAAATATGGTTTTATAATGATAAAGGTTTTAATATGAGAGCAACAATATGTTAGTATAACAAATCCAGCCTCAAGATGTCAAAATCACACGCATGTATTTTCTGAAGTTATGTGATGAACTTTATGCCAACACAAGAATGGTTTATACAGTATTAAACTGCTGTACCATTTTGAAGACAAAACAAAAAAAACATCAAATATTTCTTTTTTCATTCCCTCCAGTTGTCTCATTCAGGTTTCACCAGTCCATTACATTATTGCTCATAAGTGATGTTCCTGCTTTACAGATGTGCCGTCCAACCCGTACTCCGTGCGGTTCGCCTCGGTATCTCAGCGCATCGCTACAGTCACCTTTATGAAGCCTGACTCTCATGGTGGCGTGCCCATTGGCCACTACATTGTCAACTACAAGGACCAGAGTTCTCAGGAGTGGAGGACGGTAAAGTCACATGGTGTACAGAGTGAGTTTTGTTGTTTTTTAGTCCTACTCTTTCTTTAATTGTACTATTACTGCTAACACTACTACACCTGCCTTGTATCTAAACATATTGGCCATTTCATCATAAATACCCGCCATATAGGTGCACTTAGTAATTTTACAGTTATTGACTGTAGCCCATCTGTTGCTGCACAGTTTATCAACCCCACCCCATTCTACCCCATCCATCAATGGAAAGGGAGCAGCGTAGGGCCACTGATGACCAGATATTATACAAATTATGCAGCAGCAGATGGTCTACAGTCTGTAATTATTAAACTACAGAGTGCTCCTACATGGTTATTTCTGATCAAATGGCCAATAGGTGCAGCTACAAGGCTAGAACTCGCAATGTACCATAAAGCCATATTAGTAGTATTAGTGGTATTAAACAAATAATCTTGTGTATGTCATTTGGGGGCCCAGAGTGTTCAGACTGAATAACTGGTAGGTGAATGCAATACCAAACCAAAAAGTTTTTCACCTGTCCTTAAAAATGTTTTGAAGACAATGTTTTCTTTGCAGCAGAAATGATGTGACAGCTGTGGACACACCAGCGAAAAACTCAGCGAAGTACTACACAGCTTTCATGCAGCTTCAGACAGCTGCAGGGTACCTTTTATATCGAGTGTCAGGATTAAATGTCAGTCATCTGACTTTGAAAAGCATCAGGGCTGTAGAGTTGGCTTTATTTTGGAGTCATATTTGGAGTGTACATCTGCGCTAGTGGCAAAATTCATTGCATAATGGAACTTTCTGAGCCTTTGACTGTCTCTTTCACAAAAGCCACTGGTTGGCTTGTTTTGCCAGTTAGTGCACTCAAGTCTCACTTATTCTGAAATATTCCTCAAGACACCACCAACCTTTTTACTAACAGTGTTACGAGGCAGACTCATACCTTTTGTTATTCTTTAGAAGTCACAGTTATGGACAGTTATAACAATAATTAGATATAAATTGCCAGGGATATACTAAAATGGGAATTGTGGGCTGGTGCTGATTTCCAATAATTTTCATGTATATCTGCTGATACTGAAACATAAAGAAATTTATGAAATGTAGAAACAAGGACTAGAGTAACCTGCATTAGCATTACAGTTTCTTTAAGGTAACAAATACAGTTAAATTAACCAAAAAAAAACTTGATTGGCTGTAAGGTTGAGATTGGTTTGGAAAAGTTCCCTCTATGGGTTGAGCTGTTTAAGCTTTGTGCTGTTTGAGCTGTGTCAACTTTTTTTTGTGTTTTAATGAAAATGATTTTTTATGAGGTTTTGAGTTATGAGCAAAATTAGCTGTTGCTACCAAAACAGTCAATACTGTAACATTTGGTAAAGTTTCATTTTGTTAGTGACAATGTTCAATCTTTTGTTTTAGTAAATTAAACTATTAAGGTATTGGGCCACTCAAAGCATTTTATAGGATTAAGTCTAAAGTCCAAGTGAGTTAAAAGTCAGAAATTTGACTTTGTAACAATTCAAGAAAATAATCCGTACAATACTATGAAAATAATGTTTAGTTTTGTTTTTTCATGAATGTATTCATCCATGTACAAAGTGTAAAAGTTAAAAAATTCATCAAAGGAACTGTAACAGAATAGAATAAAATCACCTGGGACCACTGTCATTGTCAAATGTACGGTCATAAGCAAAAGTTTGGATGCCCCTGGTCAGACAATTTCTCAATATGTTAAATTTAGCAAACAAAATTTGCTGGCACATAAATTTGAATGCATAACTTTTCTCTCTTCTCTCTTCTGAACATTTAATGCATAATAAATGTTTCTGCACATTTAATACATAATATAAAATAAATAATAAATAAAATGTTTATTTACTGAATTTGAAATTTCTTATTAAACATAAAATGTGGCCTGTGCAAACGTTTTGGTGCATTTGTATTTTTTTTGATTTTTAAAAAAATTAAAGTGCTCCTGCGGGGAAACTGTGTGCTAAAATATGCCAAAAAGTTTGCTCTGTGCTAGATACTTTTTTTTTTTTCATTTTGAAAATCAACAAAGCATGTAATTTGATCAGGGGGTTCCACACTCTTGTATAAGACTGTAGCATCTTCCAAAATTTAAATAGTGTAATACCTTGATGTGTTAAATTTATTGCACTACTACCATTAGCTAGCTGTTAGCTCGCTAACATTATGTTATCGAGTTTTATCAATGACTGTGTTGCACAGTAGGTGGGTATACAAATCACTTTTCTTTTTTTTAAAGGTGGGTATATACCATATACCTGTGTCACATACCATTACACTACTGCATCCCCTAGCATATCCCCTTGATGAAGATGAAAGAACATCAGGGAACCCTGGTAGATAAAAAAGCTTAATTGGTTCTGGAATGACAGCGTGACTGGTCCTTTAAATGCGATGATCTGAGATTTGTGAGCACCTCCAACCTTGCATGTTCCAAAGTGGAAACATAATTTGTACATTACCAAACCTTATTTTACAGCAAAATGGAATATGAATGGACTATTGAATCCACTGAATGTATTTTTTTACCAGTGGTCAATATTCTTCATAAGAGCCAATATCACTTCCCTCAAAATGAGTGCCTTTTTCGCTGAGACAGGATGTATGGCAAATCATTTAACCTGTCTCAGCCATTGTGTTTGGCACAACAGCGCACTTTCTCCACCTCAAAATGGCTCCAGCAATGAGTCAAACCAGTTTTCTTCATTAAACTGCTTTTGTCTGGATGTTGGGCTTGCAATTATCTTTCTGTACAATGACGTGCCATTTCGCGGAACATTGAACAAAGCCTTTAAACAAAGTTTACTCGCGAAACATGAAAAGCGCTAGAATTACAGAGAACAAACAACAGCCTTCACCGATGCTAAGTTATACATTCAAACTTTGAATAGCTGTCCCTCAGGGCATTCGGGCTTGGGAGAACACAAAGCTATGTTAATGGAAGTCGAAATGAAAGCAATGACTGTTGAGAGTTCATGATGAGACCACTAAATATGAGAAACCTCTAAGGAAGGCGCGCTTTCAAAGCTTTATTTGTACCTCAATATCTAGTGTTATTGCTGGTTACTGAAGTCAGGAATTTGGATTTGAAAAGTTCATTCACTTGCAGCCATGTGGGTTTTTAAACAAGAACTTAATTTAATACTACCGCAGTTAAGCTCACAAATACCTTGGTAATGAAGAACAGTACTGTGCGATGTCCAAGATCTCCTTGATTTATTTAATTTCCACCAAAAGCAGCCATTATGTAAGTTGTTCATTTTTGGCATCAATAAAAAGCAGAACACATATTTAATAGGAAATTACACAGAAACATCAACAACTGAAAATAATATCAACTCTTTTCAGTATTTTCTGTGTACACACAAATGTATATGATTTACAGACCCGGACAAGAACTCTATTTTTGTCTCTGTAAGTGAGCAAGCAAGTTAAATAAAGTTTATATGCTGTTTTTTATTGTGGCAGTTGTACTGCTGCTGCAGTTGTGCTGTCTGTCTTATACTGGGCACACCCGTCTTTGTGGAGAGGTGTAAAAAGCTTTCACAGCAGGGGGTTCTCACTCCTCCCCTTTCACTCCTCATTGCTCGCTAGCAGCTCAACACAGAATCACAATATTTCACGCACAGAGAGACCACCATGTCTGAGTTAACTTGATAACAGGATTATGGGGACAAAATATTTTTATTGTTTATATATACTAAAAATATCAGAGTCTATGAGGCCTTCACAAAGAAGTACTGATTATCTGATGATGACAATTTAGGTGGTCTACCATGTCTTGCATGGTAGATATGAGTCCTATTTTAGCTTTAAATTTAGCTTTAAAACTTTTTGTTTTGGAAACTCCTTATTTTCTTCTGACTTTCCCCCTCAGTAAGCGAGTGGATTAATCTTATAAATTTTATCTGATAAAATATCTCCTAATAATTAAACATTTGTACAGGAAATTAAATAAAGAGTGGTCTCTGACTTTTGCACAGCACTGTATGTTAATTGTCATTGAGAAATATTAGTTGCAGTTGCTAAGTATTAAATTTAATTGTTTCTATCTATATTCATGGAACATGGAAGATGTTTTTCGAACATTTTCCATTTATTTTTAATGGGGGTTGATGACATCACATTCAAACAAAGCAAAAAATACTATTTGTCTGTTACTATTTTACAACTATAAAACCTTTCGACCCACAGACCCTCATATTCAAACATGATCTGGTTTAGAGCAGTGGGTAGTGGGTGTTCTTGTGAATGTGTGTGTATTTGCGACTACAAGTGGGCTTTTCAGCTTTGACACACTGCTGAGTACCTCTAAGCTACAAGCAGAGAGATGGAATTACATTTCACACCTTGATGTGTGTAGTAAATATGATCCCTATGTGAGTGAGGGATTTGTTGTGCAGGGACGACTGTGTGACACAATGGGATGACGTTAGCGTTAGCGGGGCTCACAGCCCCCATTTAGAGCTGCCGTTATTAGCAGCTCGCGGTTCGATAGCACCATTAACATGCGTAGCTCACAGTGGATCTCCATAATAGATACTGTCAGATTATTGTAAGGGGAGGGAGTGCAATAAACAGCAGGCTAAGCTGTCACTCGTGAAATTGCTGGCTAGTACATTCTATGACTCTGTGGTAACTCTGGGCCTGGAGAAAAAAACTGCAGAAAAACGAATACTGAGGTGCTGTTGAGGCACTTCATGTCTGTGACATTGACTGTCTCTTTTTCTCTCTCTCAGCAATGGTACTCCTGACTAACCTGGAGCCAAACACGACGTATGAGGTCAGAGTGGCAGCCGTGAATGGGAAAGGTCAAGGGGAGTACAGCCACACGGAGACCTTTCAGACTTTGCCTATCCGTAAGTAACACAGAAGCCAGTCTGCACTGAAGTAAACCTGTCAAATGTGTTATTAGTCAAGGGTCTAGTCCAGTTCAGACCAGAGGTCGGCTTTAGGTCATTAAGAAGTCAAAATACAAGCAAACACATTACCACTCCTGTGCGCTGGATTGATGTCACATGAAAGTAAGTCTACTATTAAACTTCAATCACTGTTATGTAACAATGCCAGCAACTCAAGCTATAGACAGGAACTACCAAAGCAACCATATTTGGCAAATTCTACTGATTTGTGCAGGGTATTTTGGTAAGGTTCACATTCTTACAGTGTCAGCTCAATGCACAGTAGTTTTAGCTTGCATTGTATTATCCTTTCATATGTATGGTAACAATATTCATTTTTTGACATTTAATGACCTCATATTTCATTGGAATTGGTAACATTTTGAGGGAAATGTAGGAATGGCAAAATCTTTCACCTTTGGAACGTTTTAGTTTACCAGGACTTGATTTCAGTGGTTTTCAAATAGCACCATTCATTTTTCTCATTGAAAAAAAACAGCTTAAACCTGGAGTTCCTAATATGATTTTAGGATTGACTACTTAATGACAGCACGACTTCAGAAGTCTGTTGTGGGTAGTGTCACTACTTCTAGAACATTGAACAACTAAATGTTTAATTAAAATGAGATTTAGCTGTGGCTTAGCTATTTTAAATTAAGTTTGGATTAAAATTTTGTTGTTCAAAAATTGTGAGTTTGAAGATGCTGTCAGTCCAAGAGAGTAAAATTGGCCCTGCTTAATTTAATGTAATTCAGTTAATGGAATTCTCTAGATGTATGCAGTATTTAAATGTTGAATTAAAAAATATATTGTATTTCTGTTTTTTTTTTTTTTATGTCACAGTTTGTTCAGAATATATAATGATACATATTGTGTAGCATGATAATATTTTCGATTATCCCGCTACTGTATTTTTGCCAAATTGTCTATCTTTCGTTCAGACTGCAAAACATTTGTACAAAACCTTCAAATGCACTATTTTCAGGTCCAATATTTTACAAAAACAAGTGTATTTTCTGGGTGAGCGTGACCATAGTAAACACAGAATAACTGAAGCATTGGGAAGCTAACTAAGCTAACAAACAAGTAATTGGAAGAACAATACAATCCTGTCTTAATCTCCTTACTAAACATAAACTGGACAAAATTTAATTTGCCTAACAGCTTCTACATGCTTCTAATCTGCTAATTTGACTTACTGGGATATTTAAATAACCATCCATCAGCATATCTTAAGATGGCTTTAGACACTGATTTAACCTTTTGAATTCTCACTGTCATAGTAACAAATAACTACATAACTACTAATATGTGAGCTACATATTAGTTTCATAGTTGTTACAAATAATAGTGATAACTGCATAGCAGGTCTTAAGATGAGTAACTAAACAATAAGCCTAACATTCAAGGAGTTAAAGCAGTGGTCACTAAACCTGGTCATGCAGATCTATCTTGCTGCGGAGTCTGGTTCCAACCATTTATTTTGAATTTAAAGGGAAAATTATGTAAAGTAGATTTTCTCAGTGAACGTTACGTTTAAGACTTCTCAGTACAATATTTCTATGGCTTTACCTGCAAAAGAAACTACACAGCGAGCTCCATTTAGTACAACCTGTGTGAATGAATGAAGTAAAATTCACCTGAGCTCCAAAGGAACAACCTGTCAAAAATAATGGTTCGCAATGGAAAAGTGAACACCAACACTAGAACTCAGGTCTGAGTCAGAGCTTATTAAAGCTGCATGGCTGGTGAAACAAAAAAAAGACCAAATCAGCTCTCATACGTTGTTCTCTTGGATTTGTGGTGCTGATGTGTGATAGAAGTGATTTCCACCACATGTAAGTTAGTCATGCCTCAGTGCGAAGACAGAAGAACAAAGTGAATTAAACATGAAATCTGTAATGAATGTCAGTCAGTTCTTCTCCTTTTCTTTTCCTCCTGTAGGAGAACCAAGCCCCCCTACAGTTCACGGCCAGAGAGGAGTGGGCAAGGCCTACAGACTGGGTCTGGTCAAACAGGATGACGGTGGGATGCCCATCGTGGAATACATTGTAAAATACAAGACAGTGGGTATACCTGAGCGACTTCAAGTGCTATACATTGCACATGCCTTAGTTGCCACATTTAAAGATGTTAATTCGCTGTGTGTACCAATCAGAAGTTTGGAATCGCCCGTCATATTACAGATTTTATGTATTTATTTAATCAGAGTTTCCACTAGGAATTAATGTCACTGGTCATACAATTTGCAGGTCAAGTTTCGGTCATACATTCGTGTTAACATATATCGTTTTCACTTAATGTGATAGGCTAATCCAAATGATACCTATAACGCATTTCCTGACAGCCTAACATAAAACTCATTCATCATTCTAGACACTCTCTTGCTGATTTCCCTGTGATCTTGTGAGGTGGCACATCATTTCATACATTTATCTCCAGACAAATTTAGAATTTTATTGAAAAACTGATTCCAAACGTTTGAACTACAGCATATGTAAGTGCAGAGTACTGTGACAGAACAGTCAGAGACAGGTATCGCTGTCTGGACTGACCTTGATGGCTGTGTAATTCACACTAGATCGTGCATGCTAACCTCTCTGGAGGTATTAGGAAACTAAAGTGAATTTTTTTTGGTGCGACTGATTCCCTTCTGCCTTCAGTGCATTTCCTACGCTGTGGGTGGTAGAATACTTAATGCTCTTTGGGATTTGGGAATCTTTTTGCTGTTTCTTCCTCCACTTTCCATAGTCGATGAATTGGTGGGATGTTTAAGGACACAGACTTGGGCTTCATTTGCTTAAAGAAAAAGGCAGACATTAAAGAGTATGAAGAAGCGCTTTGAAGTACTTCCATTCTCCATGGAGCAGCCGTGGGGGGGGCGATTCCATGAGATGCTCTTGCTTAGGCGGTGAAGGAAAAAGCTGGGCTGTGTTTGTTTTGGGCTTCTGTGCGTGAAGCACTTATATTACTCATACAATCAAACACAGTCTCTCTGTCTCTGTCTGTCTCTCTGTGTCTGTCTTTCTTTCTTTCACTCAGTCTAGAACTATCAAATATAGTAGTCAGCAAATAATCTACCATTTACACATTTTAATGATTAATTGTTCAGAGTTAAAAAAAAATAAATAATGAGCTGAACTAAACAATAACAAACCATGCATAGACATGCTGTAAAATAATCTAGGAAATAGACTTATTTGTTTATTTATCTATTTATTTAATTAAACATATACTAAGACCATTTTCCGTTGCATTTCCAAAAACAAGAACTGAACCAAACGGTCGATTAACGTCTTTTTGGTCATTGTATGTCTGTCTAATTGGCTAGTAGTTGCTTTGTTTGCTAGTTAGCTTTACTTATTGGCTAAAATGACATACTGCACTGTTCTACACACACACTCATAAAAATGTCTACGTTTGCGTAGGCAAAGCTTAAATTTTTCTCTGTCAAGTGTGACAACGCAAGGAGCAAAACACTTGTTCTGTGGAGGCTAAAATATATGCTTGTAGTGCAAACATCATAACTAGTGAACTCTTTATTAAGTAATAATTCCAAAAAAAAGCAGTTAATACATCATATTAGAGAAGGGCCAGAATCGTTGAATAGTCAAATAGTCGTAGAAGTGTAAGAAACAGTGAACGTAACAGTAAATTTAAATTAACTTCTCTATAGTGTAGTATGCTTTCATATTAAAACACAATGAGATATCTGTCACGAAGGACACGTAGAGGCTGGATACACATGCGAGTTGCTCTTATTACAAAACCAAAACTTAACAAAGTGCAAAAAACAGAATAACGACGGTCCACAAAAGAAACAAATCCATAAAGTAACAATAACAGAAACCAGGGAACAAAAACTAAGGAACAGAGAAAAAATACAAGACAAGGAATACCTGGGAAGAACGAGAGGGCAGAGCTACAGACTACAGACAAATGAACACAGTTACAAGGCTGCAGGACCAGGGTGGAGACCAAACCAAAATAACAACAAAAGCACATGGAAAAATGTAAACAAAAGGCACATAGTTAAAATAGGGAAGACAGACAAAACCAGACAAGATGTTACAGTATCCATCCTCCAGGAGAGTGGAGTGCAGAACCTGCATTTTGGTCATACTTTCTTATATGTTTAGTCCAAAGAAGCATAGATACACTAATGCTGCTGGCTAAAGTTTACCACACACTGGACAAGAAGTTCCAAGCCATGCCACAAGTGGATCTCTACTGCTCCACAGACGATAATACAGAGCACAGATATATATGGCATGTATGCTATAGCATGTAGGAAGTGTTGCAGAAAAGTGCGGACAAACTAGAAGCTCAAGTTCATTTTGCACTCTACTCAGCTTTAATTGAAAAAACATTTCTGAATTATTTAGTGAATTTTGAGGTTTGGTGTCAGACAACTAAGTCTACACAGACTTCTGAAACATCTGAGTTGAAATATGATGTGACTAGACCAGTTAGCTGAGGAGAGAACAGATGCTTAGCATTTGTCTGTTATCGTAAAGATTTTAGATTGACATCTTTCTCTGTGCAAATTTGAAGCCGCATGATACGAGTTATAGATTTGTGCTCTGAATCTGGGTTAAATATAGTACAGTAAAGGAGAGATGCTGAGTGGTATAGTGGAGTGGGTAACACGTCTGCCGTCTACGCGCTAAGAGTCCTTGGGCAAGACTCCTAACACTACCTTCGCCTACCTGTGTAAAATGATCAAACTGTAAGTCGCTCTGGATAACAGCATCTGCCAAATGCTGTAAATGTAAATGTAAAATGGTATAAGAAGCTGGAGAAAGTGGGAGGTGGGTTGGTTGCAGATATCTTTTTTTTTTGATTGGAATATCAAATTTAACTGGAATGCCCATCCCTAGTCAATTGCCATTGTAGCAAAGCTTAAAACAAAAGGAAAAAACACCACATTTACCAGTGATGGAGAAGATGTGGAACTAGTGGCCACAAAACAACAAAAGTTGACAACAAAAGATCCAGCACTCAAGAAATACGGCACAGTTTGGCACTCAGCAAAACAAGGATAAAAGAGCTTGAAAAGATCTGCAGACGCAACGATTTGTCTCTACAAACAAAGATCAGAATTGTCCAGACAGTGGTTTTCTCTGTGTTTATTTTATGGATGTTAAAGCTGGACAATAAACAAGCAAGCCAGGAATAATATTTAGGCCTTCCAGCGTTGGTGTTGGCAAAGACTTTTGGGAGTCCTTTGGGTGACAAAGAAAACAAACAAATGAATCCTCGACCAAATTAAGCCTCACCTCTCACTGAAGCCCAGATTACCAAACTAAAACTCTCTTATTTTGGATAAGAATTCATTGAAAAAGACCTTTATGCTTGATACAGTTGAAAGTAGAAGAGAAAGAAGATGGCCAGCTGGAAGATGGATGAAAACAATCGGAGGAATCATATACCAGCCATTCAGAAGCCTGAAGACCCAATCAGAAGGCAGGATATTCTGGTGAAATACTATCCATATGGTCACCAGGAGTTGGAATCAACTAGATAGCACTTAAAAATAAATAAAAATAGCTTGCATTTTGATGTACTGGTGATGTTTTAGTGTTTGGTGACTTCATCTAGAAGAATAAAGAATTTGCTAAGTTGTCTTTAGATTAGGGGGCAAGCGTTACACTGATTCAAGGAGAACAGCCTTGAATACCTTTAAGTGCTGTTGCTACCAATGCTGAGCAGGTACAAAAAACATGCCACTAAAACCACAGGTACTGGATCGATGGCCAGTGGAAAGCTCAGTTCGAGTTGTGTGGTGCCAAAGGTTCTCTTACTTTGTGCATATAATTGGGTGTGAATATAAGGCAGCAATAGTAGAATATGAAATATCCATTAAAATCACAAAAACCGCCAACTAATCATCAACGATACATTGATGACAGCCCTTCCTCAGTCCCTGTTGACAAGCAAACATATAGATGCAATAAACACTATACCAGCATCTTTTCCATGATGCTCGCTCACAGTGACACTTATTCAGATTCCTAATTCCGTCTAGCCAGATCTTAAGCTGCGGAGCTGTGTCGGAGCACATAAGAATCAGTTTGGCGGTATACGTTCTCTACTGCAGTCCGCCACTAATGCGGCCATTCTGTCATTTCTGTGCCCTCTGTGGGCTTGGCAGAGTGATTGGAAATAATAACATTGTAGATGAAAGTGTCGCGAGAGAAAGAGGTCGGCGTCCCTAATCGAGGCCCTTTGAAGGCCGTTCATGGTCAAACACGGATGAAAGAAGAGCATCCGCCACACCACAGCGAATTCATGCCGCTCCACTCTGTCTGTCTATCTACCATTTTCAGAAAGACCTCCACTGAGCAGACTTACCTTAGCACTTAGAATTCAGTATAATGTCCTTTGAGAGGATAATGTATTAGCTAGAATCCGGTTCATGATTTACTTTTTAGTACCACGCTCAGGGTCACCCGGAGAGTAGGCGGCCGAACTTCTGGCTGGTTTGTGTTCAGTTCATTTAGGGTCCTTCTGAGAGCACATTGAGTAGCATTTCACAGGTTTAAAGTAGGTAAAAGTGTCCAAACACCATAGCAGCTTGAGTCTAGTAGTTCTGTATTAAATCATGAACCCTTGATACACTGACCAGCCACTTCATTAAATACACCTCCTTGTATCTACACTCTTTGTCTATTAGGTCCATTGACCATCTAGGTGCACTTTGTAACTGTACAAGTATAGAGTGTAGTCCATCTATTTGTCTACATACTTTGTTAGCCCCCTTTTACTCCTATGGTCAGAACCCCCACAGGACCCATTCATGGTTTACATACAGGATGTTGAAAGAATAGTTATTTTTTCAGATTTATCACTATTTTACCCCTACCAACATTACACATAAAACTCAGAAGATGTATAGGTTCACTGGCGGTGTGTTTGTGTGTTGTGCTGGTACAAGAGGATCAGAAACAGCAGTGCTGCTGAGGTTTTAAACACTGTGTCCACTCACTGTCCATTCTCATTAGACATTCCTTCCTTGTTGGTCCACCTTGTAGATGTAAAATTGGAGACAATAGCTCATCTGTTGCTGTACAGTTTGTGTTGGTCATCCTCTAGTGCTTCGTCAGTGCTCACAGGATTCTGTTGGCTGGCTATTTTTGGTTGGTGGACTATTCTCAGTCCAGAAGTGTCACTGAGGTGTTTAAAAACTCCAGCAGCACTGCTGTGTCTGACCCGCTTATACCAGTGCAACACACACTAACACACCACCACCATGTCAATGTCACTGCAGTGCTGAGAATGATCTAAACACCCAAATAATATCTGCTCTGTGGGGGTCCTGACCACTGAAGAACAGAGTGAAAAGGGAATAACAAAGTATAAATAGTATAAATATGTATAGCGTAATGTGGCCAAAATGGATGATTAGCTGTCTTGCTCAAATATTCAAAATGTAACCAGATGAAATGTTTATGCAGTAGTGAAATACAGACAATAAAAATGGTACACCAAACTTTCATGTTTGAAAATAGCCAGAGAATTTATATGCCACCATCACAGTGCATTAATGCATTTTTACATTATTCATCCATAAGACTTCATCAGGAATTGCACTCAGTTTTAAAATGTAAAAGTTTCAAAATTTCTGCATACTTAAATTTTAAAGATGAAACTAAAGTCATTCAGGGTGGTTTGATGTTAAATGCTCCATTCTAGAAACTCTTAAGAGTTCACAGTGGTGGTGATAGGAACCAGACGGCCAAAATATTTAATGCTCAGAAAGCTGCTTAACAGTTTTTAAATGAAATGGTTGTGGATACACTGCCTGATGCCTGAGACATGGTTTTACAATAATTTTGTGACAAGGCTTTTGCCTAAAATGTGCTTTTTTAAACCCATTCATGGTGGAGAATTACATACAGGATGTTTTAAGGTGGAATACCCCACCCCACCCCCCCACCCCCCATTAAGAAAAAAAAAGATTTTTTCAGATGTACCCCTATTTTACCATTATCAACATTACATATAAACACTTAGCAGATGTACAGGTTCACTGGTCATTTTGGACAGTAAATGAAGTGGCTATATTTGCATTGTAGGCATTGAAACAGCTGGTTTATGTCACCACTGTAAAGAAATCTGAGTCAGTAAATTTCTGTACAATGCACATTTCACATCAAACCCCTCTAAATGACTTAGTTTATATCTCAAAGACTGAATTATGAACGTTGAGAAATCATTTGAATTCCCTTTAGAAACTTATTTGCTAAGCTATAAATAATTCCGCTAAAAGGTCTACTCATGAAGATATTATACTGGAGGAAGGCCTAGCTCTGAGAACTTCGGACATGCTTTAGTTAAGATCTTAATATACCTCCCTTTAATAACTTCATATGCTCCACAGGACAAGGAAGAGCAGTGGATGACTAAGCTTGTTCCAGGCATGAACGACTTCACCATCCTGCAGCCTCTTCAGTGGAACATGCGCTATAATGTGGAGATCACAGCCCGCAACGTCAAAGGCCTGTCAGAACCCACCTTCTTCCAGTTCCTCATGCCTCAGAAACCAGACATCACAGGTATGTGTCCTTATTATGCACTCCTGTCCTCATTACACATGCACTGGTTTTCAATAGGGATGTAACAATACAGTGGGAATGTGGTTTGGTGACAGTGTTGTACTGAATTGATGTGGGTACTGATGTGTGATATAATATGGGTGGATTTAGTAAAACATTGTCATCAAACCACTTTACAGTTGTTTTGCTTTGAATACATCGGGTGTAGGTGTGCTTGTACACTCTAAAGCACTAGGTTTCAGTAAGGATGTAAAAATAAAATGCATTGAATTGTTTTAAGTTGCGTCACAGCATATCCTATTGTATCACTGCATTGTGACATTGTGCCACAAGCTAATGTGTTAGCATGGAGTGTTAGCATGGAGCTTACATATTAGATTGTGGCAAGATTGTTAGATTGGGACACTGTAAAACATAGCTATGTTGCAAATATAGCACTTTTAGAACTTTGCTATAATGTATTATATAACGAATGCTCTAATAAACTGATAAATGGAAGCATTAGCATAGTAACATATTTACCCAGTCCTTATCCTTGTTGTAATAAAGATATATATTAAATTGAATTTGGAAATTTGTGAATCATTACACCCCTAGTTTTGAAATTTAGCGTCATGACCTTCAGATCTGTTTGAAGAAAAAAAAAAAGGCTGTGTAGTAGTAGTAACAATGCATAGTGACATTGTGATATTGCATTGTAAAACTGTAACAATGTGCGTTATCGAGCATGGACATTTAATTAATAGTAAACATTGATGAGGCATTAAGAAACGAAAAACATACTTTTTAATGTACTAAACTAACATTCAACAAAATATCTACCGGTAGGTCCAAAGTTTTACTACACACGTCTATAGCCTTAAGAATAACTCAGCCAGTTTTCACTGTAGTTCATGTTGTTACTGAATAATAAGCCTTAGTATGTAATAAGCCTGGGATCTTAAGGGATTAAATGCATATAATAGATTCTATCAAATCTAACCCTAAATCTAAACCTGACCCTAAATCTGTTTTCTGTAGATAACCTATATGGGACTGTCACTCTAAAGTGAGAGTGGTAAAAAGTCAGAGACCAACCTATCGTTTGTTTCATTTTTAGTCCAAATGGCCATTAAGTAAGTTCATTTTCCATATTCCGATAAAAAGCAGAAAACAGAAAATTACACAAAAGCCTCTAACACAGTATTTGTCCACTCTTTACTTTTGCGCCCCCTCCTGCCCCTTTAACTCTTTCATCCTTCTAAGTCCTTGCAAGATCTTGTAGACCACCAAAACTGCCACCATCCGAAAAGCAGTACTTAAAGCTTTCATCTTTGAGAGAGAGGACAATATCAAGCTCCACTGTTGCTTTGAAAAAATTCACAGGTGTTTCTGTCCATCCTTGCAGTGTGAGACAACAAGACCAGAACACTGTACATCAGAGATGTGGAGTAAGGTTTTCATAAACCGATGAGTCAAAATTTGTAATTAGGATTATTTGGATCATGCAAAGCAGAAAATATGACCAACTTCTAAGACTGAACTTTGGAGGTGTGGAAAAAAATTCACAGCAAGTCACACTAAAAGAATGCAATAAAGGCAAAGGTTGGACAAACTAAATACTAAAGGTTTTTATATTATTTTTAGTTGTTGAGGCTTCTGTGTATTTTTTTGTTAATTGTATGTTTTCTGCTTTTTTCACGACTCTAAAAAATGAACAACTTATACTTAATGCCTGACTTTTGCACAGTAATGTATACAAATAAAAATATCACTGAAATCAATATGTCAGTCTCAGGATATACTTGTATAGATGATATATCACCCAGCACTACTTTGTAGGCTATATAGAGACCTTCAACATATCATACACAGGAATTCAATGCACACTTGCAAAGAGCAGGTTACTGGTTGCACATACTTTGTGGGCTTTGTTATATTTTCAGGAAGCAACACAAGCCTATATATTTATATATATATATATATATATATATATATATATATATATATATATATATATATATATATAAATATAAATAAATAAATATATATATATATATATATATATATACATATATATATATATATAAGCCTACATATTTTTCCAACACTGTACTCAAGTCGTAATTGTACTATTTAGGTTTGTGTCCACTATAGTTTGGGCTAAACGTCTATTTCTGTGTTGCCATTAAGAAAACATACATAGAAATATTCATCCTCAAAGTTTCACACTGCACATATGAAGTACCATATCTGTGTACTTTTTTGCTTTCATTATAGGCCTAAAATCATGATCTGTAAACTTTTTTACTGCAGTCCTAAAGGAGTGTTTGGAAGTTTATATTGTCTGTGTTTGATGAATCATCAACATTCAGGCCCAAAATGTAAAAAAATACAAAAACATTGTTTTAGAGTATAATACTTTATCTGTTTTTTTATGTGTAAGATTGTCAAGTCCAGCACCAAAATTCTATATGCTGACTACAGTTCAAAGCCTTTAGAAATGTTAAGCCAGACTTGCGTTTAGGGCAATTTAGAAATCAAAAATGCATAGCTAGGGCTCCAGGTCCGCAGAGATGCAATTCCTCCAGCGCATATCAAGGCTCAATACAAGAGCAGGATCAAATGTAACCAGGTGCATTAGTTCGATTTGCCGATGCCGTTTGAAGAGGATATCTCTGGTCATGCCTTTGAATCTCTAAAAGAAATCTCAGGGGCTCAGATACCTTCAAACCTTGGTTCGCTAATCAGCACTCATGCCTACATGTGCTGGGACAAACAAGTGGGCCCACATGCCAGTGCTGCACAACATGCCTTTTTAATTAATTGTTATCATGATATTGGTCTTTGCTGTACTAACGTTACAGAAGGATACTGCATGCAAATGAGCCTAACCAATCAGATTTTATTCTTCACTGGTAGCATCATTAATGCTTTCTTTTACGGTCTGCTTAGTTCTAGATATTAACTGGTTAAGTGTGAGGTACAAACTCCAAAGTACTAGATAATTATTTTAGATGAAAGTTGTAGTGAGTAACCAGACAGTGTAACTAAATACCTAAGCTAATGAAGACATTTAAAAAAAAAATGGAACACCCCATGAAAATCTTTGTCATTTATTTTATTTTATTTTATTTATTATGTTATTATGTGGACATTTGATCAGTTTAAGCTTCCTTCCTGAGACAATCAGGTTTTGATTTAAAGGAGACCTGTTTTACTCTTTTTTCTCAGTTTAATGTACTTCTTGTGTCTCATGTTTTAACCTAGAATTTTCCAATCTGTGAAGAAGGAATTTTTGTTTTCTAGGAGTTGACTCTATATTCAAATGAGAAGGCTGTGAGACTATATAGTGCTACATAGCAGAGCAGTGCTATAGAACACATAAAAAAAGCTAAAGAAGTTAATGTTCACACTCTACTCATTTAAACGAAGTGAAGTAAAACTTTCAACACCATTTATAATGCTTGGAATCAGTTACTACCTCCTAACAAACTCACTGTTTTCCATCTCAATCACAGGTGGTCTCAATGTGGCTTTAATTTAATGCAGTAATGGCAAAATGCTGAGTGGGGCACTGAGAAATTGAACTGTGCTGAGAGCAGGGTTTTTTTTTTTTCATTTTTTTTAAGTTTCTATTTAGTTTTTCATTTTGGTTTTTGATTTCAGTTTAGTTCCAGGTAGCTTTAAGGGTACATTCATAGTTTTAGTTTAGTTTCTATTTAGTTTATGAGTTTTAGTTTTTAGTATTATGACTAACACTGCAGTAGTAGGGATTTGATAAGGGTAGAACAAAATAAAAACAACAGCAGACTGAGCTTGGCTCGGCTCGGCTCCAGCTTTCCTTAAAGTCGGCAGAACACCCTCCTAAAACGCTCCTAATGCACTCCTGATGTGGAGGGTCAGTGGTAAGGGTTTATGGTCACGTTCATAGCCCTGTTTGGCTTTGTGAGTGAATGGTGGTTTATTGACGATGCTGTCTTGTTGACTTAGCAAATACACATGAATTTAGCGTCAACTATCAGAGATGTCTAAACAACATGTACTTATCTGAAACTTCTCTCTTTGTGTCACTATAATTTATGTCAGAAAACTCTTAGTGCATGAAGTTAAATAATTGCTTTAGTTGATTAATTTTAGCTAAGCCAAGAATTGCCGTCTTTGATCGCAAAAGGAATGCAAACGTTCATCCAGAGGGCGCATGATGTTACCAGTAAAAGTGAAATACAGAAACTAACCAAGTGTTTACTTGCCTATGCAGTCTAGGGCTTGAAATAATCACTAGAAACTCACTAGAAAACCTGGCATCCAACTACAGCACATTTATTCTTGTTTACATCCAAAACGGTGTTTCCTGTGAAATCTTTTTGAAAAAAATGCAACATGCAGCAGTAAAAGTAGGGTTGATGGCTGTTGTTGTTCTAGTGGAGGGTGAGGCACTACTTTGCTGTGATGCAGAAATAAGAAGATAATCTCAACAACACACTGAAGCCTTTCTCTAAACAAGAGGCTTTCTCTAAACAACTTGTGGTTATACAGGTGGTGTCACACATCGCTGTATTCTCTGGTCTTTCTCATTGTGATGGATGACTGAGGGAATTTGGCCTGTGTGTCACCTCATTTACACTCCAGTGAAACAGGAAGTCATGGCTCAGGTGAACCTTAAATCATAAAATATGAATGGTAATATACCTTAGCTAGATTTCACTCATTAGAATTTCTGGGGGCACACATAGATTTGAGATGAATATTTCTTTCATGATAAGATTTATAAATAATTTTGGGTAATATTTTGAATTAAAGATCAAATGGATAAACAATAAAGAATGTTTTTTACAGCTTGTGTTTACCAGAAGTGTTAATATTTGTGGAGGGCGCTGTAGCTCATTTGTTGCTGCACAGGTTGTGTTGGTCATCCTCTAGTCCTTAATCAGTGGTTAATTCCTGACCACAGGACTCTGTTGTTTGAATATTTTTGGTTAGTGGGCTATTCTCAGTGGCACTGACCTGTTTAGAAACTC